ATTGTTGGGAAATATTTCAGAAAAGTGTCCCTAACTTGAGCCAATGTCGGGGTGTCAGCATATCTGGGTCTCACTGTAATTGAAAAATTGTTGACTGGAACTTTTTTTGAATCACAACAATTGGAAGCGTACTGAATTTAGGTTGAATTTATCTTCAAATTTTGAATCCGGTGGTAAATTCTGATTTTCGTGTGGAAATAATTTTGAAAATATTTTAGTTTTGCAGTTGCTAAAAATGGGGTGCGTGATTTACTAGGTGATAGGATTTCATTAAAATTTTAGAATAAAAAATTGCGGTGCGTGTCTTACTTGGAAACGCGAGTATATATGGTACTTTTGGGGAACCCTGTGACGAAAGGCGGGTCATTGAAACGAGTTTTAAATTTTGGAATGCTTGAGGACTGTATTTATTTTTTTCCTCTTTGCAGGATCGTCTCACTTCGTCGGTTCATCTGGCTGGATGCCAGGTTGGTTTCGAAATTTATTTACCGAAGCCACCAGGGGAAAGCCCACGTGATTTCCCTTCCTGTCGCTGCTCCTCGCACCTTTCTTGATTGTTTTTTCCTCTTCCTCTTTCGCATCATGCAACGAAATGCCGTGTGGTTTACATATTTATTTATTTATTGTTGCGTAGAACTCGAAAAAAAGGATGAAAGTATTGGGGGAAGTTTGATTTGCTTGGGCTGTTATTCTTCGTAGCTTTGAGTCACTTCTCTGCCGAAGTGTGAGGGGGAAGAAGTATTTTCTGCTAACTTTCTGGTATGCTGTTGGTGTGTGTGTGTGTGTGAGAGAGAGAGTGTGTGTGTATTTGGGCACTGAGACGTTTTTATGTGTAGATTCGGGGACAGAAGTACCGGTCTAATCTAGGCAACCCCTAGTCGGCTGGCGGCTACCTGCGGTTTTACCTGTAGTTACGCTTTTTGTAGTGACTACGGAAGTAAAAACCATTCCTTACTGTCCTTTGAAGCGGACGAGGGGATCAGTGGCTCGACTGTGTTTCTCTTCGTCGTTTTTGTTTTATTTTTTATCAATTTGGAAAGGTTTCAGGCATTGGACGTTTTTCTCAGGTCTTCAGTTAAATTTTTGTATTGTACCACACATTTAAAATTTAAAGGTTTTCCATGCTTCTGTGAAAATTGATTGAGTAATGTTGCTGGAGTCTTGAGACAAATTAAACTTATTTTCGTCCCTATGCAAAAAAAAGAATTCGTTTTCGGGATTGATTTGCGCTTTAGGTTGAGTTTTTTTTTTTGGCAAGTTGAGGAATAGGGTTTACTTAGCCAAGATATGGCCACATATGTTTTATTCAATTCTATCTAAATTTTGCGACTTTCCTCTATGTTGGTTGTGATGATCTTAATGTAAATGAGAATGTCCCAATGTGCAAAAATATCCCTGCAACTTAAAAAACAACCCTCCTTAATCAGAATGTTCATGTACTGTGTCCTCAATGCATTATCTTGTCATTCAAGCTATTTTTGATGAATCACAATTCATATTACTGCATTTGTTCAAGTTATGCAATCACCAAAAAAAATCCAATCACCATTGAAAAATTTTCAAGTCCACAAATTTGATGAAATTTTATCTCCTAGTAAGATGTGCACTCCATAATTAGTGATAGAGACAGAATTCTTGTTGTTTGAGTTTTTGGGCCGAGTACAGCAGAGTTTCGGTTGCCTGGAATGTGTGTTTTTGTAGAAGGGAGCGATGCAGACACATTTGCTGGGATTTCAGACCATCAGCGCCTATTCGAAGGCAACGTTGCTCCAATCCGTATGTACCAAAAGGGGGATTTATTTATTGGTTTGTTTTTTCGTGTCGTTGGGTTCTTCTTCATTTTGGTGGTATTGTACTGTATTGTGCTTTGCTTATTACGACTTTTCGATCCCCCCTTTGGTTTGCGTCTATTCCTGTCTTTATTTTTTGGATTTCTAGGTCTGTGGGGTTCCCTGGTGGCATGGTTTTTAACTGTCCAAGTAAAACAACTAAAGTAAAACACATATTTGCAACTAACCCCTTAAAACTACCAAAAACATCTCCTCTTTCTGTACCTGTCCCAAAAGGTCAACGGCTTATGCTGGAAGTAACCACCTAGCAAACACCGGGCTTTGCCTTTGAGGGAAATTATCCAGAGGCTTGAAGAAGCCTATTGCAGGTCAGTAGACATTCACTCACGCGGAACAAAAATATTGCATTATTTTGTCTTTTTTTCAACTATTCGTCAGCCTTTCAATGACCAGAAAAGAAATTCAACTTGAGGGGTTTTTGATTTGGGGGAAACCAAAATTTTTTTGCTGGAAGTTGAAATGTGGGATCTTCTGGACCTTGGAATGTGTTTTAAATTGGTTGACGGGAGGATTAACTTGGAGACAAGGGTTTCATTTGCCAAAATTATTTGCTCACTTCCTTTTGAAACGCATCCAGTTACATTTTTATTGCTTTTTTCTTTCCTGGGTTGCCAAAATAATGGCCAAAGCCTGAAGAAAATGCGAGTCATGGAGGTTTTGAGGGAATGCATACCATTACAGTACTGTACTATGTACCTTACGTTTTTGACAAATGAAGATTTGAGCCAACAAGGTCCAACATTTTTTTTTATTTATAAAAATAGCCATATAATTTGGTCTAAAATGCACTTTTTGAGGGTCATGTGTTTTATTTTGAATGAACAAATTGAATTACACTTGAATAGCTTATTCATATTGGGTTTAAGCTTCAGCCTTTGTGAAATGTTGTGTAGATGTCGCCTGGATGACTAAACTGACAAACATTAATTCTGGAACAACTTAAATTCCTTCAAACCCTGACCCAATAAACTTCAACTTGAATCTGAAGTGTTAATTTGATAACCGTGATTTCTTTCTTCTGGAAATTAATCCAAAAATTACAATTGAATAACTTGCGTGATTTTTTGAACTAGAACTGCGTAATGAATGAGTTGACAGGATGCTGAATTCGGAGGCAAGGGATCAATTGCCCAATTAATCTTTTGCTTCCTTTCAAAATGCCTCGGTTACATTTGCTTCTCTCTCTCTCTCTCCTTTGTCAGTAAAATGATAAGATCTCCAGCAAATTTGAGTTTTTGAGGGACATGATAAAAATTTTATATATATTGGCATTTGACTCGGCGAAGTTCGAATTTTAGAGGTTCAACTGTATGAAAATATGTGAATACTGTATAAAGTTTTTATTGATTTATAAAGTCCAGGTAGCCGCACCTCAAGTACAAGTAGTTGAGCTACCTGGTCACGTTGACCTAGGCTGCGTTTAAGCTCTACGGACCCCGGTACCTGTACAGGTTGCTGGTCTTCGCCGAGTAGTACCGCCGCCTGGCCCGATCGGCGGGATTCGAGGGCTTCCTGGCCAAAAAGTGGTCGTCGGAGAAGCGATTCGGACTCGAAGGCTGCGACATGCTCATCCCGGCCATGAAGCAAATCATTGACAAGTCCAGCGAAATGGGCGTCGAGTCCATCATCATGGGAATGCCGCATCGTGGTCGTCTCAACGTGTTGGCCAATGTTTGCAGGAAGCCGTTGGAGCACGTGTTTTGTCAGTTTGCTGCCCTCGAAGCTGCAGATGAGGTGGGCAAAGGACAATTTTTCAGTGAATTACTGTAATTGATTAATTGCCTAATTCACTGTGAGATTTGTCTTTTTTTTGTGAACTGTAAGAAATGTATTTGGAAAACCGTAAATCCATTCAGGCGACATATACGGAATGGCCAGCGAATATGAATACTGGAAGGAACTGATGACGTGGGCAGAACACTATTTCGCTAAATCTGTTGATTAATCGCCTAATTACTGTGAGAGTTGTCCTTCTGACCTAGAAGAAATTCATTTAAAAAGTAAATGCATTCAGGCGACATCTACGAAATTGCAAGCAAGCTTGAATGCTGGGAGAAACTGATGATGGGCAAAGGAATATTTCACTGATTCGGTTGATCAATTTTCTAATTTACTGTGACAGTAATTTTTGCTTGTGACCTGAAAAAAGTTATTTAAAATAACGTAAATGCATGCAAGCGACATTTACGAAATTACAGCCAAGTATGTACACAGGGAGTAACGCATGGTGTACAAGCGAACGAACGAGAGAGGAATTGGGTTCTGGGTTCGAATCCTTGCTCAACATTTTTTCTTTTCATCTTTTAGGGTTCAGGGGACGTCAAGTACCACTTGGGTACTTACATGGAGCGATTGAACCGCATGACCAATAAGAATATTAGACTCAGCGTTGTTGCGAACCCGTCTCACTTGGAAGCCGTGGATCCCGTCGTGCAAGGACGCACTCGTGCAGAGCAATTTTATCGCGGAGACAACGAAGGACAGAAGGTACTGTATATTTTTTTCTACATTTTTCACTCGGGGGTTTTTGTTTTCGCATGTGGAATGTATTTTTTGTTTTTATGATTTCAGGTCATGTCAATTTTGCTGCACGGGGATGCTGCGTTTTCGGGTCAAGGAGTCGTTTACGAAACTTTCCACTTGTCGGATTTGCCGGATTATACGACTCGTGGAACGATTCATATCGTGGCGAATAACCAGATTGGCTTCACGACTGATCCCCGGTTTTCTAGGTCTTCTCCTTATTGTACTGGTGTGTTTTTTGAATTCAAAAATCCGGAGAACGTTTTTAGATTTTTGTCACTACACGATTTTTTCTTCATTTGCTTTTCAACAGATGTTGCCAGAGTTGTGAATGCTCCGATTTTCCATGTGAACGCTGATGACCCAGAGGCTGTGGTTCATGTCTGCAACGTCGCTGCGGAATGGAGGGCGACTTTCCACAAGGATGTTGTGATCGATCTGGTAAACTTTTTTTTTTTGATTTTTTGTCATGCGAATTTTGGCTGAATGCAGTATGTTTGAATTTTTGTATTTTCTAGATTAATGCTCGAAGTGTGACGCGGTATAATTTCAAAGCGAATCATTGCGAGCTCTTTCTTGACGTTTTTGATCACATTTCTTGGGATATTTGCCTCCTGCAAGAAATTAAAATTTAACTTTAGCAGTGTCAAGCTTCGCCAACTAGGTTATTTTCCAGTGAACAATTCATGATTTTTTCTTCTCGAGTTCAAATGAGTGAAGAGAACATTTTTGATGACGGGAGTAGATTTGAAAGGATATTTTTTAGAATTGTTTGATTTGACGTTTTGAATTTTATTCTTTTCCACCCCAGGTTGCGTATCGCAGACACGGACACAATGAAATTGATGAACCCATGTTCACTCAGCCTGTCATGTACCGGAAAATCAAAGCCAGGAAACCGGTTGCCGAGTTGTATTCTGCCCAGTTGGTGAAAAACGGAGTCATCACCGAAAAGGAATACAAAGATTTGATTGAAAAGTATGAGCAGATTTGTGATGAAGCGTATGTGAATGCACAAAAGGAGAAGCAGTTTTACTACAAGCTGACCGAACTGAGTGGGACCTCACCTAAGAAACTTCCATGTCATGAAAACTTCATAAACACACCCAGTACCCTAACAGAACAAACCTAAACTTCAACTGTAACTAAAAACTTTACAGTTCGTCCACATGTGCAAATTATTACAATTTTCAGCTAGGATCTGCGAAACTATTTTCGTTGAATTCGGGCGACATCTGTGTAGCAGGATGGAAAATCATGAAATGCGGGGATGTGGGGCAGCAAAGGGAAAATGAGTTGTTCCTGTGTCATTATTTTAGTCAGGCTTTTAATATTCTGATCAGTTCAATTCGGTTATTGTTTTGTCAGGGAAGCAGGAGGATATTTTTAACGCCTTCCCTCAGGAATGTCGACCTTGATTTTTTAAAATTCCAGACAGGTGTCGCTCGAATCAGGGCATCTTTATTGAAATACTGCACAAGCGACATTGATTGAGCGACTCTCTGGCGGGAAGGAAAATCATGGAAGTGGAAAGAATTATTTTTATGCTTGTATATTTTTTATTTGGATGTTAATCGTAATTCAACTCTTGAATTTCTTCATTGGTTGTCAAAAAAACATGAAATTACTGTATTTGCAATCGAAACAGGGAAGGACCCGATGAAAGTGGCTCCGACTGGACTCAAGGCGGAAACCCTGCAGCACATCGTCACTAGGTTCTCTTCTCCTCCGCCAAATGCCGCAGATTTTAAAATCCATCGCGGGTTGGAGCGTATTTTGAAGGGCAGGATGGATTTGGCAGAAGCCCGCAGTGTCGACTGGGCCATGGGAGAAGCCCTTGCTTTTGGATCCCTGCTGAAGGAGGGCATTCATGTCAGACTCTCAGGTAAAATTAGTTTTGTTTACAGTTATTTGAGCTTCTGTGAGGAGAATACTGTTTTGTTGAATCCTTGGTGTTGAAGAGCAGTTTAGAAGGAATACAATTTTGTAAGTTGATTCATTGAAAGGGAAGGTCTTTTAACTGTCTTCCAATTAGTGGTTCTCATATCTATTGACAACACCTTCCACTTGGAGGCTTGAATGTCTTCGAATGTTTTGAAAGACTTCGTTGGACTTGGAGCTTTGAAGAGGATCGAAACTCTCATGAAATTTTTTTTTTCCAATGTCCATGTGAGAAGATTATTGTTATCTTGAATCTTAAATATTATGAAGAAAACTATAATAGACAATAAAGAATGTACGGACTGAGAAGTTGAGAAACAAGTAAGTTCCTACTTGTAACGATTCAAAGACGTTTCACGACACCGAAGTGTCAAACATGGTCACAAGAGGTTGGACTCCAGACGTCTCTGACAAAAAACAAACTTCTGCAGACCAGCATCAGTCTCTTGAGATATTCTCCTTGCCATAGTAAATTCATCAGATGTAGCAATTAAGTCTGTTATGTTTATCCTAAATTTCAGAAAGTCAATGGCAGTTGAAATTATCTGATGAAAAGTAAAAGTTGGCTGTTCTCTTAATGACGCTTGAGGCAAATTTTCATCTCTTGGAATAATTCTGAGAAACCCTTCTTCAAGCCCGGCTTTCCAATTTCATGAAAACATTCCACTATAGTTGCTTCATTGGTTCTTCACTTGAGTTTTGCAGAACTGCAGAAATGTTATAAATACCTGCTGCAAAGTCTTTCAAAAAAAAAACTTGTTTGAGGCTGCACAAATTTGATGAACCTCTGCAGGTCTGCCTAAAATATTTTCGATATTTGCTGGTCTGCAAAAAAATTTATGGAAATTTGCTGGTCCATGGGCCCAAAAAGGTTGGGGAGCACTGGTTGGACTTGATGTTGGGTGTCAAATTTTAGATCAGAATACTGTGAGGGTTTTTCTTTTGGATGCATGGAGAAGTGTTTTGTTTTTGTGTGATGATGAATTTAATTTCGAATAAATTTTTGTTTTTCCCCGAACAGGCCAAGATGTTGAGCGTGGAACTTTCAGCCACAGGCATCACGTGCTTCACCATCAGACAGTGGACAAGGCCACTTACAACATGCTGCAGCACTTGTACCCCGATCAGGCTGCTTACACTGTCTGCAATTCCTCGCTGTCTGAATACGCAGTCTTGGGTTTTGAGCTGGGATTCTCTATGACGAATCCGAATGCCCTGGTGTGTTGGGAAGCCCAGTTTGGGGACTTTTCAAACACTGCCCAGTGCATCATTGACCAGTTTATCGCTAGTGGCCAGACGAAATGGGTTCGGCAGTCTGGACTGGTTGTGCTGTTGCCGCATGGCATGGAAGGAATGGTGAGCGATATTTTTCTTGTGGATTTTGGTTTCTTTAAAAAAAAATTGGGGATTGCGAAAAATTGTGTGTTGGCTATTCTTGGAAAGGAGTTGGTGTTTGTTCAAGTGGAATCTAGGGTATGTACCGTGTTTTTTGAGTTTCTGGCATTTTTTGATGGATCCGTTTTCTGAGGTTTTCGGATTAAAATATAATTCTTAAAGAGGATCAAATTGCTAAAAAGAATTGTATATTCCTTGCATTTGTGAGGAAAAAAAAATTTCGGCTGTGTTATTGACGCCTAGTTTTAAAAGTGCTTTTGCTTGTTTGAGGGAAAATGAAGGCATTTCTTTTTGTGAATTTATTTCATTTTATGTTGAAGCTATTATTCCGGTTTAAAATATAATTAGGATGAGGATAAAAACATTCACAATCTTTCTTATTTGTTGTATTTTTCAAGAAAACAAAATTGTGTATGAGGAATTTAAAGCTGGGTTTTAAAGGGATTGTTTGTTGCATTTGTTCATTAATTGTCTGGATTAAAATAAGATTTAAATGGTGATCAACTTTTCTCGATCTCTTATATTCCTAGTGTTTTTGAAAAAAATTATATTTGCAAATGTGGAATTGAAACATAGGTCTTATGTTTGTTTTAGGGGAATCGGAGCGCTCATCCATAAATTTCTTGCGTTGTTTGATGGACCTGTTCTAAAAGATTTACATATTACAAGATTTTATGAAATGTGATGTGTTCCATGTCTTCTGGAAGAAAATTGAAAATACAAAGGTAGCATTAAAATCTATTCTTCAAAATTTTTTTTTTTTAGAAAATACAATTCTAATTATTTTGTAAATATCTTCGATTGTTTGATTGATCCGTTTTTAAAGGGTTTCGAATTGCAATGCATGTACCGTACTTTGAATGGTTATAAAATTTCTCGATCGTTATTGATCTTTTCTCACCGTTTGTTTTGGAAATAAACATGCAATTTTGCAGAGGATGCAATGAAGAAATAATTGTTGGTTATGTTGTCGTTCAGGGCCCTGAACACTCGAGTGCTCGCCTGGAACGTTTCCTGATGATGTGCCAAGAAGACCCAGATTATTTCCCGCCGGAAACTTCGGAATTCCCCGTGCGCCAATTGCACGACATCAACTGGATCGTGTGCAATCCCACGACGCCCGCCAATTACTTCCACATGCTGCGCAGGCAAATTGCGCTGCCTTTCCGCAAGCCCCTGATTGTCATGACACCCAAGTCCCTGCTCAGACACCCCGAGGCCAGGTCATCCTTTGATGAGATGGGCGAAGGCACAGAGTTTCAGAGGATTTACCGCGAGGCTGGACCAGCTGCGCAGAACCCTGACGCTGTGCAGAAGCTGATTCTTTGTTCTGGTGATTTGCATTGCCCTTTTCTTTTCAATTTTGAACAATTTTTGGTTAATTGAGCGATTATTTTCTTTTGTTGTGCATATCCTGAGGGTTTTTAGACTTAATTTTTTCAGGTTAGCCTTGTCAAAAAATGTCATTCTGTATTGTATGCTGTATCTTCCAAATCAATTGAATGCTGTTTTGAAGACTGCTTTTGAGACTATTTGATCAGAGTCTCTTGAAGTATTTGCATCAGTCATTGTAATTTCCTAGGGTTGTTTTTTCAAACAAATTTTTGAATTTTCAATTAAATTTGCTGTGCTTTATTTGTAAAGGGGAGAAACTTATCTCTCACAATTTGTTTCCCCTCTGTTCTTCAAATTGTTAAAGCTATGGATTAATTTCAATGTTGAAAGGTACAAAGTGAATCCTAGTTCATAAGAGTCTGGTTTATTCTGGGAAGGGATCAACTTCCAGTGTCAGATTTTCAAAATTGTCAATGAAAGTAACTTTCTTCACTTCTTAGGAAACAGTATTTGTATTTTCCCACTTGGTATTTCATTATACAAGCAAGAAATGATACTTTTTTATTTATTGATACTTTAATCTTTCCTAAAGAAAACTCGCAAGCCAATTATTTGCTAATGGTGACAGATGTGCTTTTTTATTTCTGTTCAAAAACTGATGCAATTTCATTAATATGTTATATGACACTGGACACTTAACATTATGTAATAACGTTGATCAAAGTTAAGTGCAACTTTCGTATATTACTTTGTGATGTGCTGACTTTTTTTCAATCTCTGGAATTTTTTTCTTTTTTCCTCTCAGGCAAAGTTTACTACGACCTTACAAAAGTGAGGAGGGAGAAACATCTGGAAGACAAAATCGCTATTGCCAGGGTTGAGCAGCTGGCTCCGTTTCCCTATGATTTGGTGAAACAGGAGATCTTCAGGTATTTCATCTCTTTTCTCATTTGTATTCCATCTACAGAATTCGGTACTTACGGGTTTTGTTTGTTTGTTTGTTCAAACTCTTTGTACAGTGTGTCCCTGAGATGTGGACATTCTTACTGTACTTCTCAGTCTGTGTCCACATGTTGGGTCAGTTTTGAGTGTCCCTGTGCCTCATTGTCAGTATTTTGGAACCAATTGTGTGTATTTACGGTAGGATTTCCTTACAACTCATCCATTGGAACTTTCAGAAACATGTGTTTATAAAAAAAAGTATTTGTGATTTGAAAAATATAAAATTCTCCATGCGAACTAGAATTATGATGTAAAGTACTGTATTGCAAGAATACCTTTGAGAGAATTTGTTGTAACTGAGAGTCAAATCTATAAAATTAATCTTGACTTCTTGTCAATCTTGGTGAGAAGTGGGTTATGAATACAGTACTGGGAAAGTTGTATGCGACAGATGATGTAGGACCTGTCAGAATTTTCAACTCTCTTTGGCATAAATTGAGAGGAACAATTTTGAATACACTTAACTTATACTGTACTCTGTTGAACCTGCCTTTTGACTAATGTGCTGTTTATGTAAACACTATGAATCAATCTGTGTTTCATTCTATTTATGCTGAAATTAAAATGAAACAAAATTGCTCATGAGAGATATACTTTCCTTGAGAACAACTTATTGATTCATGTCTGGTTGTTCTTTGGTATGAAGGAATATTCTTTCCAACATGTGTTGTTTTTAAATAAAGTCATGCATTCTCAAATGGAGCTAAAGAATTCCCAAGGAATACTCTACTTGAAATACAAACTCACAGTACAGTTGGACTCCATCCAAAACAATCTTGTCTACAATGATATTCTCTTTCAAACAAATGTTTTTGGTCCTAAAAGTTTCTCTCCCCATGTCATGTGGCCTTACTCTTCAACAATATTTGTTCTCCATGGTTCCTTGAATTTGGTTGTAAGATTATACCTGTACTGTATATATACAGTATATTCTTTTGTGTTTTTGGTTCAGGTATCCCAATGCGACTCTGCAGTGGGTGCAGGAAGAGCACAAGAACCAGGGTGGGTGGATCCACGTCTGGAACTTTCAGAAACATGTGTTTATAAAAAAAAGTATTTGTGATTTGAAAAATATAAAATTCTCCATGCGAACTAGAATTATGATGTAAAGTACTGTATTGCAAGAATACCTTTGAGAGAATTTGTTATAACTGAGAGTCGAATCTATAAAATTAATCTTGACTTCTTGTCAATCTTGGTGAGAAGTGGGTTATGAATACAGTACTGGGAAAGTTGTATGCGACAGATGATGTAGGACCTGTCAGAATTTTCAACTCTCTTTGGCAAAATTGAGAGGAACAATTTTGAAAACACTTATCTTATACTGTTCTCTGTTGAACCTGCCTTTTGACTAATGTGATTTTTATGTAAACACTATGAATATAAATCTGTGTTTCATTTTATTTTATGTTGAAATTAAAATGAAACAAAATTGCTCATGAAGAGATATACTTTCCTTGAGAACAACTTATTCATTCATGTCTGGTTCTTCTTTGGTATGAAGGAATATTCTTTCCAACATGTGTTGTTTTTAAATAAAGTCATGCATTCTCAAATGGAGCTAAAGAATTCCCAAGGAATACTCTACTGTAAATACAAACTCACAGTACAGTTGGACTCCATCCAAAACAATCTTGTCTACAATGATATTCTCTTTCAAACAAATGTTTTTGGTCCTAAAAGTTTCTCTCCCCATGTCATGTGGCCTTACTCTTCAACAATATTTGTTCTCCATGGTTCCTTGAATTTGGTTGTAAGATTATACCTGTACTGTATATATACAGTATATTCTTTTGTGTTTTTGGTTCAGGTATCCCAATGCGACTCTGCAGTGGGTGCAGGAAGAGCACAAGAACCAGGGTGGGTGGATCCACGTCCAGCCCAGGATAAACACGGCCATTTCAGGCTCGAGGCCCGTTCAGTACGTGGGCAGAGCAGTGAGTGCGTCTCCGGCCACTGGAGGCAAGCACGCCTACCAAATGCAAATGGACCAGTTCCTGTCTGAGGCCATGGCTTTGTGACTAGACAAAGGGGGAAGCAGTCCGTCGTCGTCTGCATCGGCGTCGTCGAAAGCGACATCTGGTGCTGCTCGCGAAAAGCAGTCTTGGTGGCAATCCATCTTCGGCACGTAGTCGAGAATTTTCCGAAGAATGTTTTTTTTTCTCTCTTCCTCGCTCACGTTTCGATGTCATTTTCCTTTCCTGGTTTTCTCTTGTTTTTTTGGTTTTTTTCGGCGTGGTTTAATGCAGTTTCGAGATGAGAAAGAAACGGGGGAGAAAAAAAAGTACTTTTTGTTTCGCGGATGGATGCGGATTCGAACTCCGGCCCTCCAGAGTGATGCCAATAAGTGCAAGAGTGTTTTTTTTTTTAGTGTACTGAACTACTTTAGCTTTATTTAGGTTTGACGGTTTGAATTTTGTTTTAGGTTGCTGTTTCGAGTTACCAAGTGGCAAGAATGATCCCCTGTGACCGGATATGACTAATTTAAATGTAGTAAAGTCACGTTTTTATGGTTGGAGTTTTTTTGTGTCTCCCATAAGTAGTTTGAGTTCTGTAGTCGATTCGTTTTTTTAATGCTGCATTTTGCGCTCATGAAGAAGAATTTTGTGGAAGATCATTTGCGTTGACTGCCCCTTGTCTAGAGTGTAAAATTATGAAAACATTTTCGGTAATTTATTGGCGAGAAGAACGAAAATCCGGATGTGAAGGGTGGTTTTTAGCTGGCATGTTATATGTGCTTTGCTTCAGACAAAAACTGGTTGGTTGATTCGATTCAACTGCGAAGTGACGAATATGCCTGAAATCATGTGTGGAAACGTCTGGTTTTCCCTATTTTGTTTTTAGGCTGCGAAGAAAATTCGTGTAGGGTTGTTTCAGTGCAAGTTATTGTCCATGTGATGCGAAAGCTTGCCCTAGAGTACCGAAGTACACCAGTATTTTCAAAAATCCGATGGTTTCGTAACGTTCATTTGTATTCACAATTTTAGCACCATATGTCGCATACTGAGTGAGCCTAAATTATTCTTCTTAAACACCATCAATTTAAGATACAATTTCGTGGGATTTGGATTAAAGTGAACTTTCCTCTGGTGATTCAGTCTGAAAAAGATTAGGCAGAAAAATACCTTGGATGTGTTGTTTTACACAGAATGGATGCTGTTGAACTGAGACAAGGTTTTCTTTTATACAAAAATGTTTGTTTTTTGGGAAAATTTCAGAAAAGTGTCCCAAACTTGAGCCCATGTCTGGATTTTGGGCCTGATTTTTTTTGGTTTTCAAATGTCCCTAAGTTGTATTGTCCATATGTCTGGGTGTCCACATATTGGGGTCTCACTGCACAGTATTTTCCATCATAAGGCCTGTTCTCTTTTTGAAGCATTTTCATCTTTTTAATTCAACCAGAATGACTGCAATAATATATGATCTTATTCTTATACAGAATATACAGTGAGAATCCAAAATTTTCTGTCATGTGAATTTTGATCAACACCAAAATAGAATTACTGCACCATGAGGTTTTACTTTTTTTCCTGTTGGGTGAAGAAGCATTAGTAACTTTACTTTACTTGTGCTGTATCTACCTTAAATACTGTACTGTAATCCCTTTTCTTCAATTTGAACTTGTGCTCATGCTGTATCTTGATTGAATGAACTGCACTTCTGAGGTAAGTTTATAAACAGACCAGCAAAAATGCTAAACATCACATAATAAGTATATTTACAAAATTTTGGGATACCAAAATACCTCCAAGAACAAATTTTGAAGTTTGATCAATTTTCCCAAGTTTTTGGACAAATGCTCAATTCCAACATGAAATGTAAATTGAGTACTTTTTATTAATCACAGGACTCTGGAAAAATGTTAACAAATTATGAACTGTTCAGTTGGCATGGCTGCTGTCAATGATATCCAAGGACTGCAGAAGACTGCCAAGATAGAAAGGCTTGTCAGACAGACCCAACTGATTGCCCACATGGAGTCCACCATTTTGTCAAACTTGTTCACCTGTTTGCCACCCAGGATTCTGAAAAGGCTACAAAATGCCGCCTTTCTTGTTCCTGAATCCTACAGGTGAGTTTATCACAAAACTAACGCAGCAATTTGCACATCCAATTGATCAAAAATACTGAAAAATTACTTCCAGGATGATTTTCTTTTCTCCATACAAAATTGTTGCGTAATACATGATGAATCTTATGAATATGTCATTGAAAATCAAAATTTCCATTTATTTTAGGTTAAAGCACGAATTTTCAAATGGTTCACATCACATTTTAAAAAATTTTCAAGTTATTCAAGATCTAAATGATTGTAGCTTTGCCAAAAAAAAGATTCATGAATGCCAAGGTCAGGAAATTACTGCATGGCATCATCCAATTTTCAAAATACACACCAAATTATTTATATATCTCCTGATAATTATGCAATTTGCAAAAAGTTTAAATTGATCAGTTCATAGAATATTAAAAAAAAAATTGAATACTTTTCTGAAAGTCCCTTTTTATGAGTCATCCATTCAATGAATTTTATATGATATGGAAAGAACCACTGTGATGGAAGTGTTTCTCATTTCCAGGTGGATGAGTTTATGCATAAGATAAAATGAGCCAAGGGACAAAAGACTGCCAAAAGAAATCAAGGCAGCAGCTTACAAATTAGCAACAGCCACCATGCTGAAGAGAATGAGCAGCAGAAGGATGGAAAAAAGCAGGGACAGGGCCAGGAGAGAAAGATGTCTTTGCTTCCTTCTAAATACTGTATAAAATAGCAGCTTATAGAAACATATATGATATAAGTAGTTGGCACTGCAAAGCTTGTATCACACATCACATCACGTTACAGCAGTACTCAATTTCAGGCAACACATTGAAAGCTTTTTTCCTTGCTCAATTAGACTCTCCTGTCTCTGTGAAAGAAGATGCAGAAGACATGGCATAATAATCAGCAATTGCTGAAGATGTTGGTGCAGAAAGAGAGTTGATATTTTGAGGAGTTTCTTGGGCTCTGATGATGTTCACATTGCCTCCAGGCTCCTGATTTGGTATGTAGAGGAGAAACACTCCTGGGGCTTCTGATGGTTGCACATTTGGTGGGGATTTGTTTGCCAAAATCTGTGCCAATTCCTGGATCAATGGCTGCATCTGGTTTTGGATCCTCACAACAGCTGCATCTTCTGAAGCATTGGCCCTATACAGTATAAAACAAATCAATTTTTATTTACTTCACATGCTTCACATTTGAGACACCCTTTTTATTCTGAAAATTTAGCAAGATGGGATGTACTTATGTATACACAATAAGTTGGGAAAAAAGTATGCAACCTGAACTTTTCACAACAAACCTTATCTTATAGAAATTTTTGCATGTTTTAGCTCTGTAGCACACTTGGATTTATTTTAACTTTTCATTCCAGTTTAGAGCCATTGAAGATGAAAGTTTCCAAAATATTTTTAGAAATATGAATGTTGCCCTTGAAAGCAGAGTCATCAATTTTAATCTTGGGCAGTATGCTTATGCTCAGACATTTTGTGTTGTCTCAGTAAGATAACTGTTCATAAAAGTCCGAAAAACATTTTATGAAGCTTTTTGAACAGATCCAAAGCAGATGATTTTTTACACTGTACATGAAAGCCTCAGCTTTTTTCACTGTATATGAATTGCTGAATGAATATGGATTTTCCACTAAATGGGATGAAGTCCAAGTTGAAAAGGCAAATTAAAAGCTACACATTGAATCCCATCAAAACAATTTCTTGCAAAGAACACATTTTGTAAGTGTGTCTTCAATTTTTGCTGCTATATCTCTATATCTTTCCTGTTATTGAATCTCAATATGACACAAATTCCATCCCAAAAACAAATATTTCTTATTTTGAAACAAAAGGATATCTTAATGTAGTGCATTTATTACTTTTTGCCAATCTTGTCAAGGATAAACATATATACCTTGGAGGGAACCCAACCATGTTCAACTGGGTTCTTCCACTGAGTTGAATTGAGCTCCTGTCCACAGCTGAAGAGTGCAGCTTTTTTGCATAACTTGCTCTTTTCTCAGCTGCACTTGTGGGAACATCCCCTCCAGAACTTCTTTGGGCTCTGGCTTGTGCAGATATTCTGCAACAAAAAAAAGTCATTTTTGTAGCACAGGGATCATATCATCATCAGCAGCAGCTGCTATGGGATATATATTAAGCCATTCAATTCACCCACCTGCTTTGCCTGTTATTGGCATCCTGAGACTTTGAAATGTGACTCTCAGATTTCCTGCCTCCTGATGATGGCTTTCCAACAGTATAGATCTTTGATAGTGAAAGTGTGTTTTTGTCACCAGCTACACCAGGGCGAGGAAAGATGAGTTGGGAAGTTGGCTTGTTCATCATCACAATGGCTGATCTTCTCTCTCTCCTGGCCCTGTCCCTGTTCATTTGCATCCTCCTTTTCCTTCTCTTCAGCATGGTTGTGGTTGCCAATTTGAAAGCTGCTTCTTTGATCTCTTTGGGCAGTCTCTTGTCCCTTGGGTCATTATATCTAATGTACAAACTCCACCTGGAAATAATAAAAAACACTCATATTGCAGTAGTTACAGTATTTGTATATCATATATGAATCATATATGACTCCTAAACAGGGACTTTCACAAAAAATTCAAGAAAATTTTTCAAATATTTTACAAATTAATAAATTTTAAATTTTTAACACGTTTTATACTGTATAGGGCCAATGCTTCAGAAGATGCAGCTGTTGTGAGGATCCAAAACCAGATGCAGCCATTGATCCAGGAATTGGCACAGATTTTGGCAAACAAATCCCCACCAATCTTGAAAAACGTGGTTTTTTAGATTAATTTTTTAATCTACTATAATTATTTTTTTACATTTTCCAAGGAGGCAAACATTTTTAAGGAGAGCCAAAAACTGGCATAATTGTCAGGCACTATAAAGAATTTGGCTTGTTTTGAAAATTGAATGATGCCATGAATTTGCTGACCTTGGCATTTATGAATCTTAGCAGAACTCCAAACATTTTGGACTTGAGATTGTTTGAAGTGTGTGAATCATTTGAAAATATACATCATGTTTCACACAATAATTTTGCATGGAGAAAAGAAACTCATCCTGGAAATGATTTGCTTTATTATTTTGTATCACTTGGATGTGCAAATAGCTGGAGATTTTTTTGTGAAAAAACTCACCTGTAGGATTCAGGAACAAGAAAGGCAGCATTGTGTAGCCTTTTCAGAATCCTGGGTGGCAAACAGGTAAACAAGTTGGACAAAATGGTGGACTCTATGTGGGCAATCAGTTGAGTCTGTCTGACCAGTCTTTCTACTTTTGCAGTCTTCTGTAGTCCTTGGATATCATTGACAGCCATGCCAACCAAAAGGTTCATCATTATGATGGCCATGAAAAGCAGGAACAGGAGGAACAAAAGGTGGGATGTCACTTGGAACTCCAGTGTCTCATTTTCCCTGAAGAATATGGCATCTGAGTACTCATACTCTCCTGTCATCATCACCAGGGTGGACAGGATGCTTTCCCAGGGGTTGCCAAACAAGGCATGTCTTGGGAAGATGACTGAGAAACTCATGGAAAATGCCAGGATTATGGCTGAATATGCCATGAAGAACTGGGAAAAGTCCTTCAAGACAATGATGAACATTTGTATGTAGAGTCCATATGATGGAAACCTTAAAAAGCACATTTATGTGTTAATTTTTTGTTGTCAATTTAAAATGTTTCAAAACTTTTCACCTTCCTATGAGGAACATCAGTTCCACCCAAGCCAGGAAAGTGGTCCATGTTGCAACATGGTACTTCCATTCAGGAAAAGCACAATCATATTCCACAGATGTGGTTACTTCTGGGCTCTCACTATTTTCCTATAATAATAAAAAAAGAATGTGCAAATTTGCATACCTTATATCCTATAAGAAAAGTTTTCAGAAAAATATTGAGAAGTATTCTTTAAATTGGATTTTTTTAAAGAAAAAGCTGCATTTTGAGTAGCTAAAAAAATATGTTCAAGTGTAGAACCATGTGAGTGTACTGTATATACTTGCATGGATATGATTATGTATTTTCAATAAATGTCATTCAATACAGTCAACCCCCATCTAACTGACTTGATTTGTGCAAGGGACGAGTCTGTTAGACAAAAAGTCCTTTACACAAATTCAATTACTGTACATAAAAAATTAAAAATTTCAATTTNCTGTTAGACAAAAAGTCCTTTACACAAATTCAATTACTGTAAATAAAAAATTAAAAATTTCAATTTTCAACACTAATTTTAAACCAAAAGAGGTCTGGTTGGCGGATTTTGTCTGTTGGGTGGGAGGAAAAACTGCTTGCAGAGCTGATCTGTTCGGCAAAAATCCCTTACACAGGAGGTCTGTTAGACGGGGGGACACTGTATTTGGAAACTATTCAATTAATGATTCTATAAAAACCTAAAATGATGCAGCTTCATTTTCTCTGTTAATCAAATGGTAAAGTTTGCAAAGTAAACCAAATGCACAGTATAATTGAAGCAAGATGTTTCAGGTCCTTATAATATTTTTTATTCTTGAAGTTGATGAGAAGAATGGTGAAAAAGGTAATTAAAAACAGTACTGAAATTCAACATAATTCCTTTTTTTTAAAGAACTCACCCAGAGGGCAGGCTTTTGCTGCACCTTGTAGTACACATTGACCAAAAGCATGACTAGTGCCAATATCCCCAGCTGCACAGCATTCTCAATAGTCCTCACATATTCCCTGATGTTCTGCACAACTTGGAAAAGCTCTTTGACCAGGTGGACAAAGGCCAAGACCAGCATCAAGTACCAGGAAACATTCACTGATTTGGTGCTCACAAATGCCTTTCTTTCATCAGGTGTCCCCAGGTTCTTTTCAGCACATTCCAGGGTGCAGTTGGAGTCTGTAACACATGAGGCCTCCAGACACCTTTCCTTGAACACTTGCAGCACATAGGCTGTTATGGAAAACACAAACACTGCATACACAAGGACATTGAGGAGGAAAAACTTCCTGATCTTCTTCCATTTGAGGTGCAGGAAGCTTTCACACAGAGGGTGGTTCAACAATCTTCTTTGGCCACACTGTAAAAAGAATAACATACATAAAGAGATATACAGTTAATTTGAATTAATAATTTTCAGCACAAAATGGTCTCAGATCACAATGAAAAACAAGAAATGATAAATTCCAAAAACAGGATGCCTCATTGGCTTCCATATAAAAATGTTTCACATGACAATGCTGTGACATCTCATTCCAGACAATTACATGTGGGAATTTCAACTGGTTTCAAGTTTAAAATGTCCATGTTTTCTCTGTGATTAAGACCAATGTAAAAAAGATGAAAGAGGGCACAAGTGTTTCATTCTCTAAATTCCCCAGAATTTTTTTAATCTCCAGCAAAAAGTTTAGGGATTGGAAGTGCAATGGTTATACTTTCAGACAGGGTTTCAGAGTTTTACATACATAACAATGATTTTTTTGGTGTCTTGAATAATAGATGAGATGTTTTAATTTTTCAACTTGAGCAAAATCATGTTTAATTAACAAAACAGCAAAGTGTAGAATAAAACTCATTCATGATTGGATTAGTTTAGTGAAGCCAATAATTGGGACCAGTTTAGATTTGATATGTTGAAATGTGAATGCTTAGTTTTCTCTTACCTGTATGAGACCCATAAACAAGGACATTTCATGAACATTACAAGGTGGCTTGAGGACCTTGAAGTTCAAGTGCAGCTCAACATCCCTTTGCTCATGTCTGGTAGCATTGGGGCGAATGTTGGGTGCCAAATGCTTGATGCCACCAAAGAACCCACTTTTGGTTATGTTCTTGTTCCTGCCACCATAATTACTCTCATCATCCTCTTCATCATCATCATCATTGTCTGTGAGTGTCACACTTTGGTTGAACATCTCCTTCAGCTTCACCAGGGCATCTGGCATTTTTCGGACAATGTAGGACAGTACCGAGCGACCACCATTGGTCTTGATGGTTACATCTCCTCCACCATCCAACAACACATAGGCACAATGGGAAAATTCATTGATGACAGCCAAGTGCAAAGGGGTGAAGCCTGAAGAGTCTCTGTGGTTGGGGTCTGCTCCAAACTTCATCAGCTCTTTGACACAGTCACAGTTCCTACTTGACCCCGCGCGCACAATTGCTGAATGCAATGGGGTTTTGCCATCTGCATCTGGGGCATTTGGATCACCTGCAGCCTTCAGTAAAGCCTACATATATGCACAAAACAGCAGAAGAAAAGGTTTTATATTGGGGGGTAACTTTCACAAAAATACTGCATACAGGTGATGGTACCCTGCAATGTGTTGAGCTGGACTATAGGCTTACATTGTGAAGCAGTCAAATTGCAGAACAATGTCAGATGCATTGTTTTCAAAATTGATGTATTTAAGAACCATCAAATTGCAGAATAGACATATTTTTGTATGGGTGGTACCTTGCTAATCCATTGCCAAACTAGGGTTGAATTGCAAGGTGGTTAAATTGCAAGACACTTTGTGAAATAAAAAATATTGGTACAAAATGGGAAAAGGTGGCCAAAGCAGGTCAAATTGCAGGGCAAGAGCATTGAATTGCAAGTCAACCTCAATGCAAATTTGACCATCAAATTGCAGGAGGTCAAATTGCAAGGTAACACCTGTATATGGTCAAATTGCAAGGTACCACCTGTACACGGTCAAATTGCAATAAGGTAACACCTTTATATGGTCAAATTGCAAGGTACCACCTATATAGGCTTTCTTATTTACATACTAGATCAACAGCAAAATGGTCACCTGAACGCAATCTGCTGCTTGGCACAAAGCAGCCAAGTGCAAAGGGGTCCTGCCAAGACTGTTTCCAGCATTCACATCACTACCTGCTCTGATGAGGAGGTTAACAGTGTCATAAGAGCCATCTGTGGCAGCCAAGTGCAATGGGGTGTTGCCATCAGTTCCCTTTAGAACCACATTCCCACCATGGTCCAGGAGGACCTTGAGACAGTCCACAAAACCCTCAGCTGCAGCTATGTGCACTGGGGTGTCTGAGAAAACTGGACCAAAGTTGACATTTGCCTTCTTGCTGACCTGTATTATACAAATGATTAACATCAGCACTTATATGGTAAACAGCTCAAAGAAAAGGGTGGGCATATATACTCACTAGATATTTCACACAGTCTACAGCATTCACAAGGACTGCATAGTAGAGTGCAGAGACTGAGCTGGGTTCACTGCCACACTCTATGAGTGCACCACCATCTTCCACCAGGATCTTGACACAGTCCAGGGAACCAACTGAGGCAGCACAACACAGTGGTGTCACTGGTTGCTCTCTGTCCCAGGCATTCACCAAGGCACCAGCTGCCAGAAGGACCTTCACAGTGTCTGCACTTCCAGACAGTGCTGCCAAATGCAGACCTGTTCTCCCAAGACTATCTGTGCACCCAAGTAGTTCCATTTTCTGGACAAAGAAAAAAAGCCACCATCAGTATTTACAAACACCAATTTCATCATCATGCAGAAATGGTCTCTGATTTATTATGAGCAAACAGTCCAAATTTCTTTTTTTTTCATGATGCCAAATAATATTAAACAGTATGGCAGTTGACATCAGCACATAACTTCAAAAAGTTGTGTAATACTGGATAAGGGCAAAGTCCTGTCTTTCAATTTCACCTTCACTCACACAAACTTGGCATTCATGGAAAATAAAACAACACTTTCCCAGAAACACTTCCCCAGGATAAGAAAACTTTATTATAGAGGAGTTTCTCATTACTATGACCAAAAGAGATGCAGAAAATACAGTACTTCAAAGTTCTATGTTGTTCATTAACCTAAAACTGCAGTGGTCCTCACGCACTTTTACTCTTAATTGCATTTAACAGTACCGAACAATTAACAGTTTTAGGCTACCATTGAAATTATGGGATCCCTTTGAGATTAATTTCAAAAGGTAACTTATCAAGTTTCAAGGGAAAACACTTATTTTAATTCTTTGAATGAATGAACAGAACACTTTATTTGCCGCTTTTCAGCGTTCACAAGGCACAACCAAGTCTCTCACATCCAAAACCCCTCCCCACCCATCCAAAATCTCCTCAAAGACTTTCAATCACTTCAAATTCTTTGATCCTACAATAATAGAGATATGACATTATTGGTTTTGAATGAACAGAACACTTTATTTGCCGCTTTTCAGCGTTCACAAGGCACAACCAAGTCTCTCACATCCAAAACCCCTCCCCACCCAACCAAAATCCCCTCAAAGACATTCAATCACTTCAAATTCTTTGATCCTACAATAATAGAGATATGACATTATTGGTTTCTGAAAAAGCTGGAAAAAGAGTCCAATTGTCAATTGGTTTTTTGTATCAACTTAGAGTGATTTGTATAAAAGGAAAAGTGATTGTAAACCTACTTGTCTATGGGTGAGAGAACATTTGCTGAGCAATTCCTCCACCAACCCTGCTTGACCATTCCAAGAGGCAACCAAAAGAGTCAAAGCCAGTTCAAAGTTCTCAATGGGTCCTGATGAACTGCTACCAGGAGTGCCATTTAAATTTGGCTTTGTAGCCACTCTTGGTATCTGCTGTGGTTGACCACCAGCAGCAGCAGTAGTTTCTGATGAGCTACCACTATTGCTGTTGGGCAAGATGATTTGCAGTACAGCCTTTTCATCTTGTGCCAAAATGGCTTCAGCCAACTCATTGCGCACTTGACCTTGGTGGCTCTGGACCAGGTCTTCCAGCTCCTTGGGAATGTTTTCCAGGCTGCAGATTTTTGGCAAGACTCCTATCATCATGCTTCCATGTGGTTCTGACAGCACATCTATGCAAGGGTGTTGGCCCAAGGCTGACTGCAGGGCATTTGGATACAGGGACCATCTGGTGGTGGATGACACAAACACATAGAAATATAAATCAGTAATTTGGAGTTTTGGGTTTCATTTTAATAAAGTGAACCCCATGCACATCAGACCTCCCACACAACACAATTTTTGCACAACAGATTGCCTCATCATCTGATGGAGGCAGTTTTTCCTCCTGCACAATGGACTAAATCTGCAAAACAGACTTCAGTTGGTTTAAAATTAAGGGTAAAAATTAAAATTTTTAATGTTTGAATAATATTTAATTGAATTTGTGTAACTGACTTTTCACCCAACAGACTATAGTCTCTTGCACAAATTAAGTTTTTTGTGCAAGGGTTGACTGATGTACCTGCATCATAAGGGATCATAGTCAAGGTTTTGGTCAGGCTGGTATTTCTGTTTCAATTCTTTGAACTTTTCCTATATTGAAATCAATTTTGAAGGATTTATGAAAATGGTTTCCTGGCCATTTTCCTTCATAGACCTTCCCAAAAGAATGGGCTTGTTTAAGTAGCCATCAATTTCAGTTTTATTGCAGTTTCTCTCAACTGCTGCCCTGATTTTTTAACATTTATTCTTTCTCATGAATTGACATTCTTTTTTTGGAAAATGTTTTTAAAATCTGGAAAATTGTCACAAAAAACACAATTGAAACATATTTAGTATTTTGCACTTGCATTAAATTCCAAAAACATGGAAGTTCTGCAGATTCAAAACTCATTTTCTTGTATATAGTTATGAGCTTTTTCATATATGCTTTTTTGCATTTGAGCCTGGTTGAGCAAAAATGAGACAAGTTAAGAAGCCATTATGCACTCTATAAACTCCATCTTTATCACAAATATTGGAAAAGTATTTAAATGACTCACAAAACGTTTTAACAGGGTGTACAAATTAAAAGTAATGTACAGATAATTGATGGCCTCACAAAATGGATTTTTTGCACACTGGACTTGGACTGTAATTTTTTTCTTCACCAACAGATATAATATTCAAGAGATATTTATACTGTAGTCCTTCAGAAAATTTAAGCTTCTGTAGTAAATTGGGCTGCCAATAATGTATTTATTTTTATATAGTATATATATATATACTGTATATATATAGTACAGTACTAACAATTACTTTTATAGCATTATGATTATTGTTAATTGAAATGATCTTTCTCTTTGTAGAAATGTTTATGGCATTTTACATTTGTCTTTCATTTATTTATTTGATCATGATTTATGAAAATGGTTTCCTGGCCATTTTCCTTCATAGACCTTCCCAAAAGAATGGGCTTGTTTAAGTAGCCATCAATTTCAGTTTTATTGCAGTTTCTCTCAACTGCTGCCCTGATTTTTTAACATTTATTCTTTATATTCTCATGAATTGACATTCTTTTTTTTTGGAAAATGTTTTTAAAATCTGGAAAATTGACAATTGTTTTAATTGTGAAAACACAATTAAAACATATTTAGTATTTTGCATTTGCATTAAATTCCAAAAACATGGAAGTTCTGCAGATTCAAAACTCATCTTCTTGTATATAGTTATGAGCTTTTTCATATATGCTTTTTGCATTTGAGCCTGGTTGAGCAAAAATAAGACAAGTTAAGAAGCCATCATGCACTCTATAAACTCCATCTTTATCACATATATTGGAAAAGTATTTATATGACTCACAAAACTTTTCAACAGTGTGTACAAACTAAAACTAATGTACAGATAATTGATGCCTCACATAATGGACTTTTTGCACACTGGACTTGGACTGTAATTTTTTTCTTCATCAACAGTTATAATATTCAAGAGATATTTATAGTCCTTCAGAAAATTTAAGCTTCTGTTGTAAATTGGGCTGCCAATAATGTATTTATTTTTATATAGTATATATATATATAGTACAGTACTAACAATTACTTTTATAGCATTATGATTATTGTTAATTGAAATGATCTTTCTCTTTGTAGAAATGTTTATGGCATTTTACATTTGTCTTTCATTTATTTATTTGATCATTTTCTTCAAGTATTCATGGAGGGAATTCCCAGTATTCTTTGTTTAAAATATGAAGTGAACTTTATTACTCAGTTGATTTTTCTTTAATTTCTTGATTAAGGATGACTTCCACACTGCTGAGATGAATCAAGTTCATTAACCTGGGAATTAAAAATATCCAATAAAATTCTGCACTTAGAAACAATAGATTGCAAATAATGAGTGTCTCTGTATATAGCTTGCCTTTTATTGCTGAAGCTTGACAACATGCTTTGCCTCCGTTTTCCTCTTGCTGCTGCTTCCAATTCATCATCATCAGCATCATCAGACTCTGCATCATCTTCATCATTATTGTCATCATCATCATCATCATCCAAGTGGTGCAAGGCCTCATCTTCCAGCATCTCCACTTCTTCCACATCCTCAGCAACTTCTGAATCGCCCACAGGATTGTAAGCTGGGTTATTATTACTTGCTGCAGCAACTGCTGGTGATGGCAAATGCCTCTTCTTCCGTGTGTCTTCAGTTGCGGAAGATGCTGGTGATGAACTGAATTTTGTAGACTGCTGGTTGGTCCTGCGTTTGAGGGAGAAGAATCGGACGAGTCCGTGTAAACTGCCGCCAGAGGTCGCCTGCTGCTGCTGCTGGTGGTGCTGCTGGGACGCCTCGGGCTCGGCGCCGGCTGTGGTGTCGCCTCTGCGGCGCCGCCACCGCCTAATGCCCGCTTTTATTTTTTTAGAAAGAAAGAAAGAAACACACAAACTAAAATATGTGTGTGTTAAAAATTATTTAAAGGATGAGGGACTGGAAGTTTTTTTTCAGTTTTTAAATTTAAATCAACTGGAATTTAATTTGATTCTTGGAGATTTCCAATTTTTGTGTATCAATTTGGGCTCCAAATTTTTGTTTCAATTTATGGGGTGGGGGGGGGGGCTTGAAATTGTTTAAAGTTTGGATCATTTGCAGATTTTTGAATTCAGATTTTTCTTAAAATATACAATACATACATTCTTCAGTTTTTCATTGTAATTGAAAATTAATGAGGGACAGGATTCCAAGAAATTTGAATTGGCATCTGTAGCAGTTAATTCCATGCCTTCTTCATGAGTTCCATTTTCAATTCTTAAATTTGATCCTTTTTTATTGTTCTACTGCATCATTAGCAGATTAAAATACTGTATGTGTTTTTGGAATTATGTAATTTTTTCTCTCAATGTTCAACTCATTTAAAACATCCATGAACAAGTAGTTTTTCATCTCATAATAAAGTCAGATATTTGAAGAAGTTTAAGTTGTCTACAAGAAGCTAATTCCAGCATGTTTATCCAATATTTGGATTCTTAAAGTTATTATTCTTGAGCTCAAAGATTAGTAAAATTAAACATGTCTGTAGCTTGTTAAAACTTATTTTTAAATGCCACAAAGGGCATAAACAAAATTGTTTCCATTCCAGAAACAAGAAATTCAATTGAAATCATTCACTGCATTATTGAGATAATTGTCAACGCTAATTCAAAGACATGACAAGCAATGAAGAATCTGGAAAATGTGGGTCTACAAATTGACAATAACATGTGACTTCAAATGAAATTTAAAAAAATATATTCATTAATTAACAGACTTTTCTTTAATTGGAATGGATTGAACTACTGAAAGTTAAGAGATATATTCAGTCCATCCCAACAAGAATCTATATTTATTCCTAAATAAGAATAATCCACAATATTTTGTGACTTACTTGATTAAATTTATTTTTTTTTAAATGAGATTATTGGGTTCACTCACTTTGTGATGGAAGAGCATTGCCATTCTCAATGTCAGAAGGATCCACATTGTTGTTTTCCTTTTCCCCCTCAGGGCTTATTGGCAAGGAAAATGGACTTTCCCTCATTTCAACTGACTTATTTGACTCTGACAGTCGTTGGTGCAATGCTGTAGAATTCCTGTTACTTGTCATTGTTGTTGGAGCTGAAAAGGGGTTCATTTGGCTGCTGCTGCTTAAAATGGACTTTCCCTCATTTCAACTGACTTATTTGACTCTGACAGTCGTTGGTGCAATGCTGTAGAATTCCTGTTACTTGTCATTGTTGTTGGAGCTGAAAAGGGGTTCATTTGGCTGCTGCTGCTGCTGCTTGTTCTTCTTGCAATCACCTGCTGGCATAAGTTAAAAAAATATACCTCAAGGGTAATGCATTCCATCTGTTTCAATATATTCATGTCAGGACATTTTTTTTTCAATAAAGCAGCTGTCCCAAAATTAAAGGGTAGAGTACAATTTGTCACAGCAACTAAGAATCCAAATTCTCAGAAAAACTTGTCCTTGTACATCTCCGTGTGAACCAAGGTTAACCTTGTTTCACACATACATTTTTCAGAAGCCTCCAAGGATGTTTTTTAATGCGAGTTTGTAGCATAGGGTAGGTTGTAGTGTAGGGTTGGGTAGTTTGTAGTGTAGTGTAGGGGAGGTTGTAGTGTAGGGTTGGGTAGTTTGTAGTGCAGGGTAGGTTGTAGTGTAGGGTTGGGTAGGTTGTAGTTTAGGGTATGGTACTTTTTAGTTATACAATTTCATTAATTTTACCAACCATTGATTTCACTGCGGACGCTCTACTACTAGATGCAAAATCCAGGTTCTGTTATTTGTCCTTGGAGGACAGTTTTCCTGATTTCCTACTCTATCCAAAAAAAAACTCACTCTTCCCTGAGCTCACATACAACAAACTCCTGTGTCTGTGTTCCTTAACATTGTGTGTATTGACTGTGTGTTGAAAACCAAATTACAACAACCTTGAAATAGGGTGATTCTTCACCCTGGTCACAACCCAACTGAATTTGTGTGTTTCATTTAAACATTTTTTACTCAATCTTGAAATTCTTTATTTGTCTGGGTAATTTTCTTGACAGCAGCTGCTGACTGAGTGACTCAAGTTTCCATTGAATATGGCAGAGTTATATTTAAAATTTAAAAGTGATGCATGAAACTACAATCTGATGTTTAGTTTTTTGGAAGGCTGGATCTGAAAAAGTGGATACATTGAAAAATAATCAGCTCAGCCAAGGATTTTGGGCCTCAGAGCATGAGATCATAGAGAGACTAACACAGAATATCTATTAACTGACACTGGACTACTGGAGTGATGGCAACACTGCAGGATGAAAGACATTTGAGACAAGACCAAAGAATATAGACTAAGACTGATGTAAAGACAGACTGGAAAAGACTTCAAAAGGGACACTACTGAGAGAAGACTAAACTACTGAACTGACCTATTTTTTCTGTGACTAATGCACAGCCTTTTTTTCCCAGACCAGACTAACCCTGGGATTGAGTCATGGTGTAACAAAGTTGCCCTTGGCTATGTGATCTTATTGGTTGTTAACTTGACAAATTTTTTTCTGAGTGACTTTTCTGCTCATCTGTTCCAGGAAGTGAAAAAATCTAAAATATTCACATGATGACAAATTTTATATGCTTGTACAAGAAGTCACATTTCCTGTATTAAAAAATGCCACCATGTTTTGATCATTGAATTACTGTATATGGATTCAAACAATTTCCATTTCCTTCTATAGAAAAACAAAGTTGAAGCATTATTGAAGAAATCCTCTAGAATTTTATGAAATAAATAATATTTTGCATGAAAATTAATACTGTATACAAATATATGTGGGACAAGAACTGAACTTCCAAATAACACTTTCAGGTGAAATTTTTCATTTGATTTCTTTTATACTGTACAGTATTTCAGAAATGCTCAAGCATATAAGAACAATAAAAAATTATTACTACTAATAGCAGTATCATCCAAGATCAAACTCATGATTTCTTAGCAGCAAGATATTCCAATTCCTGAATCTTGGAATGCAAGTTCAGTATTTTATTGCACCAAATAAAAAAAAGCTCAACTTCCAAATAATCAAATAAAATTGAGCTGAGATGCAAGTTGATGTGCAAAACAAGCATAAAATTGAGATGAATGAAACCTGATCATTATTGAGACAAAAAAAGGAGGAAACTTGAGACTCTGAATCCCCCTGATGATCAGCAATTTTTCACCAAATTATTCTTCATCTTCATCTATTCAGAGTTTCCCCAGTGACTCAGCAACAAGTCTCTTTATTTACACCAGGTCAGCATCAGGTCACTTTTTCTGGCAACTTTCTCTTTCAGAATACACACAGCAGAAAAAGTTGAAGAAACCTTTGATGGACTGTCAGGTTTTTTTTTTATGGATGTCACAAATTAAAGGTCAATCACAAACCTCATTCAATTCCTCTTTCAAGGCACTGTCAGCAAGCTGATGATGATGAATATCCATGGATGCAAAGTTTTACACTTGATTTTATATTTTTATGCTTTCACTACATGGCTTTTCAAATAAATAAAATTCTTGGACTTTCAACAAAAATATACCTGCAAAGAGAAACTTTTCTTCAAAAGACAGCTTCTGTGGAAAAAAAGATATGATCCAAAATAGTTTCTGCTCCAGTTTCCCAGAAGAAGAGGTTAAAATGGGGGGCCAAAGAATGTTGTTAAAATAAACAAGACTTTCCCTTTGTTCTGGGCTTTTTTCCTATTTTCCTCCAGACACCAGATAATCTTTTTCTACTAATTGCTATTGACAAAAGCTTCTCATGGTTTTTTTTTCTTGGCTGAGTGTCAAGATAAGTATTGCAAAAGTGTGAGTGAAGACTTTTGATGGTTGAATTTATTTTGAACAAAAAAAACTTGTTTCCAATCAAATGGTACTTTAAAAATTGCTTTAATTTTTTGAAATTCTGTGAATCATCAATAAATGAACTGAGGTATGTTGATTCATTTACATGATCTTTCAACAAATCATTGAACTGCTTTAAACTATAATTTCTTTTTTGAATTAAGCATAATAAGGTATTGCAGGTTTTCTTTTTCAGAAATTAATATTTTATGATCTCAACTATAACTTGCTAAGGTAATTTGTAATATCAATTAAAATATTAACCAATTAAAAACATTAATTAGCAGCATATTTGAATGAATTTTTGAACTACACAAATCTGAAGAAATATACAAATTAACTTGAAATTAATATTTTTAAAATGACTAAACATTATGATTTTTTATTCTCAGGAAAAAGGAAAAACAATAACTACAAATTCAATTTTAGAGGAATCAATTTAACAATGTTTTCCATGAATGTAAAAATCAAATTTCTGAGAGACATGTAATTTACAAAAACCAGAACACAAAAATGACTCGAACAAAATTTTAAATAAAAAGGTGATTCAGAATAGTAAACATTTTCAAAGAATTTTCTGACAATGAGAGAAATTGCGAAAAAGTTGAAATTTTATTAAAATAGGACAAATATGTTCATTTGTAATAATGATCAATTGAAGCTTTGTTTCATTTAATCCTTTCAACCGGGAATCAGCTTGAAGCCATTTTTGCAAATCCATAACAATAACCATTAATTATTTTTTAAACCACAAAAATAGTTTTTCCTACATTTTCAAATCTCCAAACCATCATTTACATGCCATCATATGCATTTTCAAGTCTTTTTGACAAATTTAAAACAAGAAACAGATGATTCCAGAAATTCCAGCAGCAAAACAAGTGGTAAACATACTGTTATCATTTTTTGGACACCAAAATAATACTCATGATGATACACTATCACTGAAACACATGTATTCCACACACACACACACACATCACTGACACACACTTGAGACTATGTATAAGAAATGGTTCAAGTGTTGTTGGAGACTCAAACTTATCCTGTAAATATCGACAGATTCTTTTCCGTCACAAGACCTTCGGAAGCCAACTGATGCATGGAAATGGCTGAACCACTGGTTTCAAGTGTGGAGTGGACACCCAGTCTTCTTATACTGCTGTGACTGACTTCACACTCCGCGTTTCTCTTCCATGCACACCCTTGAATGTATTTGGAACTGCATTGAAATTTTTATTTGTTGATTGTGGATCAAGACAAGGTATCACCTTCACTTATATATATATATACACTGATGATGACACATGCTAACTGTGAAATTCCTTTTATGAAAAGTTCTTTTAAATTATAGACTATTCTTTGCAATTAAGGAATTGGTTTTTGTGAGATTTTTATACATTGAATATATATTTCTCTTAAAATTGTAAGAGTAATTAAAATTTGCCAATATGCAATTTTTATACCATGGTTTTGGAAAGGAAGTCATTTTGAGTCAATATTTACTGCTCATACTATACAGAGTTACAAAAAGGTTGCTCAAGATAATATTCCAGATTCATTTAATAAGAAATTCTGTTAAATAAGAATATACTTTACAGTGATTTTTTTTCATTTTGGAATGAAATACAGTACAGTCAACCCCCGTCTAACGGACTTAATTCGTGCAAGGGACGAGTCTGTTGGACAAAAAGTCCTTTACACAAATTCAATTACATAAAAAATTAAAAATTTAGGAAAAACTATTTTTGTGGTTTAAAAAATAATTAATGGTTATTGTTATGGATTTGCAAAAATGGCTGTTTGGCGAAAACCCCTTACATGGGAGGTCTGTAAGGCGGGGGGCCACTGTACATATATACAGTGCTGATAATTAAGCTGCACAATTTACATCATTTTTTCTCACATAAGAATACGAGCAATATAAAATAACTGCAAACACTCAAGTCACTCATGTTTGCTGGTCTCTCCACCACCATGCACACGGCTATTTTCAGGAATAACTTGCTGCTGGGCACCAGTCTGTATAAGATTTTTAAATAACTAGGAAATATATAACCGAAGTTCGCGCGAGACAGAAAACGAACAGCGCCAGTGCATGAAAACAGGAAAGAAGGGAAAAATAACTGTACACTGTACACACATGTGTACAGCCCATATAAAGAAAGCAAGAAATAAAGGAAGGAAAGACAGAAAGAAAGGGAAGATGAGATGAACATCAAGAGAGCAGAAGACAGGGATGAGGAGCACGTGCGTGTGTGTGTGCGTGTGTGCATCAGCATTTTTCCACGCCGGCCACACTTTCACATACAGTATATAAACTCTCTGCTGGGGCAAACCGTGACTATGAAAACTCATTTTCATCCCCCACCACCGAGAGACCATCATGGTATTACACATACACCTGTGTACTGTACTGTATAGGGTTTCCAGTTGGGGGTGCCCTATATACACATGTACTTTACTATACTGTTGCACTGGACAATAACACAGGAAAAATAAAAATAAATGAACTTTGGGGGAAATTGACCCTGATGTTCATTTATTCATTTTTAATGCAGCCAAACCTCTCTAACTCAAATTTAAAAAGGGACCAGCAAAAAAGTTTGACATAAGTTTTTTTTTCAAAGGTTTCAACTTGAGGATATTTGGGGTTATTATAAGGAAACAAGCAGTATGGTTCTGGGAAGCACAGAAGAATTGCAGGAAATTGTACATGGTGATATTCTGGTCCACAAATTGCTTGTGGAATGAGTTGACAGGATGCTGAACTTATGGAATCAGGGGTTTGTTTGTCCAATTAGGCTTTTGCTTCCTTTCAAAGCACATAAATAAACTGGCATTTTTTTGTTGTTTTTCTCTTTCCTGTGTCAAGAGAATAATAGCCAGAGGGCCTCAGAAAATGTGGGTTAAGGATGAGGCTTTAGAGGAAAATACTTTGAGTTAGGGAGGTTTTTAATGCATTCTTTCTAAGGGAATGCAGATATGAAGACTCGTTGAAACAAATTTAACTTGAAGAGTTTTGATGAGTTATGGAGGTTCAACTGTATGCATATAGAAGTAAATTTCAATGAAAAACATGATTTTTTCCAAAAGCACCAACATATTATGCACTTGCATCATAATTTTTTTTTGTAAGACAATGGCACTGTATATAATGTAGTGCTTCATATAGCACATGGTACAAAAACTGGTGCCATTCATCCAGAACAGATATTGTTTGCAAATGTAGGAAATTTTCTTCAGCACAATAAATTTATCAAAAGTAGCAATGATGTCTGTTATCTATGTGACATTTTTGGAAAGACAATGGGAGTTGGAAATATACTCTACCTGGCTGATGAAGAATAAAAGTTGGCTCTTCTTCTAATAACTTTTCAAACCAATTTTCACCTGCTGAAAAAGTTATTTCAATAATTTTTCATTCTGAGAAACTTTTATTCAAGCCCACTTTTATAATTTTTTGAAGACATTCCACTATGATTGCTTCATTTGTTCTTGCGTTGATTTTTTTTTTAAAGCAGAAACTGCCATAAAGTATTACAAACAAAACATTTTTGAGTCTGCAACTATTTGATTATACTTTGCTGGTCTGCAGAAATTTTTATGGAAGTTTGCTGGTCCTTTTGTGCTCAAAAATTTTGGCTAACACTGGTATAGTGTATATACACTTGTTCATAGGTCACAGGAAGCTTTCCAATACCTACAGTTTTTTTTTTTTCAGAGGATTTTGTCAAGTAACCCTTTTTTTTAACCTATGTCAAGATCACATTTTTCTGTAATGTGGATATGTTTTCTTTTTTGTGTACAGCATCAGGTCTTGATTGTTGAGCGGGACAATTTATAGCAGCGTATTATAAGGTACAGTAGACTCTTCATCATGTGTACGCTACTACCGTACCTTGAGCCCCATGTGGCAGACCTCTCAAGACAGGGCCAGCATTCAGAGAGGAAACAAGGCCTCGCAGCACCTGGGCAACGTCCTGGGTTCTATATCCCGCGGGGCAGCGAAGATCAACAATCTCAGAACCCTCGACCTCCATCTCCTCAATTTATTTTTCCAATGCATCCCTCCCTGGGCTGAAGGCATCTCATCTCCTGATGATAATATATGATGAAGGAATAACAACCCTCTCCTGGAATTCAAGACGACCTACACGATATCAGATCAGCAATCTTGCCAACATCACCATCATTATTGTACTCCATGCTGCTGTATATAATTTCTGGAATACATATATACAAGTTTCTTGAAGGCTTGCTGGCAACCCTGGTCACTGTTGAAACATAGACCAGAACCTGAAGCACATGAGAATGTCTGAAAATACCCTTGTTTTTCTTCCCATCATGTATACAAGGTTTGAAGGTCATTTATTCAAGTGCTGATATAAATGGAAAAACCCAAGCGATTTTGAATGTTTACTGCTTGAGTTATATAATTTCTTGGAAATCAAAGTACAGTCAACCCCCATCTAACGGACTTGATTTGTGTAAGGGACAAGTCTGTTAGACCAAAAGTCCTTTACACGAATTCAATTACATAAAAAATTAAAAATTTCAATTTTCAGCACTAATTTTAAACTTAAAGAAGTCTGTTTGGCGGATTTTGTCTGTTGGGCAGGAGGAACAACTGCTTGCAGAGCTTGTCTGTTTGGCAAAAATCCCTTACATGGGAGGTCTGTTAGGCGGGGGGCCACTGTACTGTATCCGTATATACTGTATTATATTTTTGAAAAAGCCTGAGAGGAATTCACGCTGACCTTTTGCCCAACTTTGTGGGACAGAGAGTGAGTCAGCAAAGTCTTTGATTATCTCACACAGCACATTAAAGTGTCTTTTTTGGGAGATAAAATGATTCCATCATTACATGTACTGTACACATGCCATCAAGTTTTTTTTTCCCCAGTGCAATCATGAAATTGAAAAGCAGTGTGTTTTTGAAGATGGTCCACATTCTTTTATTATTGTTACTGCAGCTGATGGTGACCATTGCATCAGACAGACAAAGTGAGTAAAATTATAGATGGAGTTAGATTATTTTAAAAAAAAATTGCATAATTACAAAGGGCTCTTTTTAACTTTTATGCACTTGCATGATTCAGGCTAAGAAAATCAGAAATAAATTGTTGACCACCTACAATGGCAATTAAAATGTAGTGCCTGCATGTATTTCATGAGATGCTTGATTCATGAATATTCTGGCTTTTTTTCACAAAGTTTTCTTGAATTATTTGATAGAAATTCTCTATTAAATACTGTATTTTACTACAAAATGATTTATCAGCATATATGATACTTGACCATATATTGTTCCAGTTTTTTGCTTGCTCAGAATGCTCACACATACAGTAGCTGAATGAGGATAAAATAAATTTATCAATCACAACATATTTCAAATAATATTTGAAAATCAATAGAGCTCATTATACTGCATGTTCCAATTCCAAATAACTGTTCTGTGATTTTGGTGCTTCTGTTTGTGATGGTGATTTGAAATTTGCCCTAAAATGCCAATCATTGAGTTAGAATTGTTACTTTAATTGAATAGTTTATAAATAGGAAAGTTTTATTTCTCCCAACATTGAAGTTTTGGGTGCAGTGTTTGAACTGGAAACTTCTGTCACCTGTATACATAATTCAATTTTGAAGTCCTAAAAAAACTTTTTTGTAATTTCATTTTAATTATGCATCCTGATGCATGGCAATGGTTTTTTCTATGAACAAGTTTCTCAGGAATGTTGTCCAACATTTTGTTGACAGACCCTGATTGTGGAACAGGATTCACAACTGTAACAGGAGGCCTTTGTGTGGATGTTGATGAGTGCAAACTGGAGCTGTGCTCCCCTTGGGCATTTTGCAAAAACTCCAAAGGTTCTTACAACTGCACATGTTCACCAGGATTCAGTGGAGATGGATTTGATTGCCATGCCTCATCATCAGGAAACAATAAGTCCTCAGATGTTCTTTATTGTGAAGAGGAATGGGTGACTTATCCAGGTGCAGGGTCTTGTTATTGGTTTTCTAATGAAGTGTCTGAGAGCTGGCTTGCTGCAGCTGTGGATTGTGAGGCCAGAGGGTCAAGGCTAATCTGCATAGATGATGCTGAAGAGCTTAGTTTTTTTGGGTCTCAGATTCTTGGAGCTGCTTGGCTAGGATTGAACAATCTTGAAGGACAGTTCACTTGTCATGGGACTGGTGGGGATGAGGGCATTGCTTCCAGACCATGGGCTTACTTTCAATCTGTGAGTCATAACAAAAATATTATTGAGCTTTTATTAAAATTTTAAATTCAATTTTCAGGCCTGTGAACCCCAGATTTCATCTGGTAGACATTGTGTGACTTCAGAAGAAAGGTTTTCCTGGGGGTGGGGCAACTGCACTGCAGAAAAAAAGAGAAGTGCATGTAGAGTAAAATCTGACACATGCCCTGCTGAGTGGGCAGAGTACCCAGAACTTCCTGGAAACTGCTATGCTGCTAATAATGAGCTCATGAATTATTATGATGCTGCTTCTCATTGTGAAGGATTTGGTGTGAATGCAAGTCTGCTGTACATGGAGACCTTAGTTGAAAATGAGGTGCTTGGAGTGCAGGGGAATACTCCAAGATGGCTGGGGGTAAAGAGAGAACAAGGCACTCTGGACTGGATGACAGTTGAAGGGAAATTAATTAAATTTGAAAACTGGCTGCAACCAGATATTGCTGCTAAGCACAATTTAGCTAATGATGGTGACATCTGTGCTGTTTTGTTGCAATCACTCTGGCATGTTGAAGAGTGTGTATCTCCTAACTACCTCTTTGTATGCGAAAAAACAATAAAATGAATATTCTGAACAGAAAAATTATTCGACATGATTTAATGTTAGTATTTTCAGAGGGCTTATATATACCTGCTTGGGTGAGGCCTCATATCTTGCCGGAGCAGAACTCTTCACCCCTGCGCCCCCATCCCCTTGAAGGTGTTTTGTGAATATCTCTGTGCGTATCCGTAAGAAGAGCCACCCGGAATCTTCAACATGGCGCCCTTCATGATCTTGACCTAATTTCGTGCGAAGGGTGCGTGAATTGAAAAAACCGTCGCGAGAAGGTAACGTCGCGTCGCGTCACGCTGGGAAAGCCGTATTTCCGGGATTTTTGCATGTACAATGTGGGTACAAGATATTTCCATGAAGAGTTCGTGGTACTTGACGTTGAATGTGATTCTCTACGGTTGAGTGGCAACTCGTGTGCTTTCAGGGTTTGCAAGAGTCGGTCGGTGGAAAAATAAATCCCCCTTTCATTTCCCGGCCATGAACTGTCCGTTCCTGAATCAGTTCCCTCGGGTTCTCCTTATTTTATCTCGTGTTCGTGAGCTTGAGTATTCACTCGAGATGAAACGTTCTTCGGTCACATGCTGGTATCGGGTAGATGAACTCGACTACCTTACATTCGAATAATTATGTTCTACTTTTAGGGAAAGTTTCTCGTCAGGATGTTCTACCACAGTTTGCATTTTATTCACGTGGTGGATTGTTGCTGATTCTTCTGGAATTTCCTGAAAAAAAGAATCCATACTCGAGTGAACGCGATTGGAAACCGTCTCTTAAGTTCTGAGCCATGGACGATAATTCCAAGCGGCAAGGTACCCGGGTATTTAAAAAGAGTTCTCCAAATGGAAAGGTGATTACGGTGCTTTCATTTTGATTTTGTTCATTTGGCTGATGATGATTTTCTCATCTAGATTACGGTATACCTCGGCAAGCGGGACTTCGTGGACCATGTCACTCACGTTGATCCTATCGGTGATTTGAAAAATAATAATTCATCCATTTTGATTAAAGCTTGTGTCTCAATTTCGGTATGTTGTGTTTATAGATGGGGTCGTTTTGATAGACCCCGATTACCTGAAGGACAGGAACAGAAAAGTATTCGGTCAAGTGCTTGCTGCGTTTCGATACGGTCGCGAAGACCTTGACGTTCTCGGCTTGACCTTTCGCAAGGACCTTTTTTTTGCAACGACCCAAATTTACCCACCCAGTGATGAAACCCCTGCCAGAACACCCACTCGTCTTCAGGAGCGGCTGTTGAAGAAGCTGGGTGCTAATGCGCACCCGTTCTACTTCGAGCTCCCTCCGAACTGTCCTGCATCGGTAACCCTGCAACCCGCGCCCGGGGACACCGGGAAACCCTGTGGAATTGACTATGAACTTCGCGCCTACGTTGCGGAAACTGCGGAAGAAAAGCAGCATAAGAGGTGAGAATTTCTTGTCTTTTTGCATGTGTGTGAATCTTGTCTTCAAGCCGACTCTCTCTCTACCAATGGGGAATGATCTGAAAAAAAGTAACGTAAGTCATGATGAGCCGAACCTGATGTTCAAGTGATCTTTCCTGAGATTTAGAAAAACTAAGCATCAAAAGGACAAATGTCTGACATCTACATGACTTACTGCAACTTCAAACTAGCCTGAACTATTGTTAATTGATTGCATTTTGCGGAACTCTTGTCAATCAGATGCTTGCATTAATTACTTTGATGACAGCTTCTCCGAGGGAGAACTAATGTGACCTAGTACAGAAATATCCCAAATAAATGTTTATTTATTTTTTGTTGGTGTTTCGATCTCTTCCTGGTTGAATTGTGGACATTGTCAATTGTCGAATTGTTTCCCCGGGCAGGAATTCGGTGCGATTGGCTATACGCAAAGTGATGTATGCACCTAGCAAACAAGGTGAGCAGCCGTACATGGAAGTGAGCAAGGACTTCATGATGTGCCCAAACAAACTTCATCTCGAGGTCTCTCTTGACAAAGAGGTGAATATTTTTGGCAATTTTGGTAGGAGAGCGGAAACTCACCTGCAAAACTTATTTTTGTCTCCATATTTTTTCTGAATTTTTTTTTATCATTTGCTTGGGTGCTTTAAAGCTGTTTCATTTAATGATAATCGGGGTGAATTATGTTGATGATAGATGCTCTTCTGCCTTCTGTGTATGAGTATGAGATTTGTGTGATCTATTTTTTTTTTCAGCTTTACTACCACGGCGAAACGATCAACGTCAACGTGCACGTCCAGAATAATTCTAATCGGAGTGTGAGGAAAATCAAGATTTCAGGTGAGATTTAGGACGTGTCAGTGGTGCGGAAAGATTTGCAATTTTCGTTCGTTTTTTCGTGTGCAGTGCGGCAATTTGCGGACATCTGTCTGTTTTCTTCGGCGCAGTACAAGTGCAATGTTGCAGAACTGGATAGCGAGTGAGTTGAAGTTCCTTTTTCATGTAATTTTCAACGTACTGAGGGGTTCTTGTGAATGAGGTAAAGATTTCCGAGTGTCCTAGTTTTTTTTTTCATGAATCATTTGCCGATAAGTTGAATTTGAATGTGGTGAGGATTGTGTGTGTATTTTTTTTTTTTAATAATTTGAAACGAACGAAACAAAACCAAAAACATTGAACAACAGAGAAGGATGCCCCGTGACGTCGGGATTCAATTTGTCGAAAGTGTATTCATTGCGGCCGAGTGTGGCCGGTAACAAGTACAAACGGTGCTTGGCTTTGGACGGCCAATTGAAGCACGAGGACACGAACCTGGCCTCGTCAACCTACTTCCCGTGAGTTCCTACTTCCGGGGTTGACCTGAGCCGTGTTGGAGGATGGGGGTTTGTAGAGCCGGTTGCCTGATGCTGGGTGATGGACTCCTCGAACGAAGACGCCTTCTCTTTTCTTCTTTTATTTTTGCTGTGAGAAGAGAAGGAAATTTTGCATAATATTTCGCGGGTTATTGGGTATTTGACGTTGATATGGAAACCGAACTGATTATTATTTTTTTCAGCATAGGAATGATTTTCAAATTTTGTCAGTTTCCTGGAACAAAGTGCTTTTTGCCAAGTCTGAAACGAAACTTGGTGTGATGGAAAGGTTTTTCACAACTCGAATGGGATTTTATTTTCCTTGATGGATTTAGTTTTTCCGTTGAGTCCTATGGCAAATATGTGAAGATTTCTACATTAAAAATGTGGTTCCCTTAATTTTTTCAACGATTCGATACCGTAACTACGGAGAAACTGGAAACGTATTCCCATGTATGATCTGTTTCACATTTTTTTGCGCACCTGAACGATCAAGATATGGTCGAGTCGAACCTCTTGAAGGAGCGAGCCAAAAAATCCGAGTCAAAACCAAGCATTTTTTTATTTGAAGAATAAATTGAAGAAAATGATATTCTGTGACAGGATGCTGAACTTGGAGGCAGCCCAATTAGTCTTTCTTGTTCCTGTGTCAATGAAATGATATCTAAAAGGTCTCGAGAAAATTCAGGTTGAGGAGGTTTGAAGGGAAAGCCCACCTAGAAGTTATGGAGCATTTAATGCATTGGAATTTGGAAAGGGAGTTGGAAAAAAAAATTAGCATTTGCAGTTTTGAGTTCATCCATGTTTTAATGGTTTAATTGTGGTTCCAGGAACAACTCGGTAAGGATGAGTTTATTTTTCTGAAATAATTCTTGCGTGAAAAGAAAGAAAAAAAAAGTTGTATGAAAGATGACGTATGCATGTGAGGTGGTTTTGGTTCTTTTTTCCCTCTTCTCTCTTCCTTTTTGTTTCCCTCCTTCGAACCCTGTCCCTGGTGGTTTGCCTTGCCACGTTTCTCACAGAGAGGGATTCCCACTTGGTCCCGGGTTCACGCTTTCGAAAACATTCGGCCTGACGCCATTGTTGGCTAACAACAAAGACAAGTGGGGCCTGGCGCTGGATGGTCAGCTCAAGCATGAGGACACAAACCTTGCTTCTTCCACTTTGTGAGTGATGGCTGTTGTTTTTTTTTTTTGTTGACTGGAGATGAAAATACAGTAGACTTCCCTTACGACGAATTTCTCGTTTAAGCGAATTGTTCGCATCATATTATAAAAATCTTGTTTTGATGAATTCGTTTCAGACTGTGATCTCATTGTAAAAAAATAAATGTCGGCCCTGATCATGTCCGTGGGCTTCAGGGATTATTCAATAAATTGCCTAAAATGGAAAAAAATCGAAATGATGCAGCATTCCAACTTTATTGAGAAGCAAAACTTTCTGTCGAGATAATTTATTGTTCCAAAAATACGCAGCATGACTTGTTTTAAGGCAAATGCCACTTTTAATGACAAGGAAAGTACAGTAGGACAGTATTTATTTCCAACTTTTTCTTCGCATTTCTTCAGATATTCCTAGAATGACAAGCCTTGAATCACTTGTTTCGCAAGTACTTTTTCAAGTACAGTATTAATCACCCATTTCCCGTAAAATTTCAGTCGAAAATGTTTTGAACATCATGAATCTCGATACTACGAATTTTCATCAGGTCCCTGGGAGTTTGTTGAAGCGAGATTTTACTGAATTTATTTTTTTTTGTGAATTGGCATGCGTAGCTTACGTGTTTCCCGTTATTATTATTTTCAGATATTTGGGGGATGAAATGGGTGTTTTCCATCATCGTGAATGATGATAATTGCGTGGTTGTTGATTTTAATGGAATGAGGGATGGTGTGATGAGCATGTTGAATATCGTGTGAGTCATTGTGTTGTAAGAAGTACTGGGGAAAAAGAGACGATTGAGTTGAGTTGTTTTTTTCTGGTTGAACATGTGTCATGTATCTTGTTCGTTTGTGTATTTGGTTTCTACAGGATCAACACGCCGTCACAACGGGAACATATGGCTATAGTTGTGCAATACAAGGTCAAAGTGAAGCTTAGTCTGGGTGCTCTAGGAGGGTGAGTTTTTCTATTTCGCGGGATTCTATTTCTCAAGCGATGTTTTTTTTTTTTTTTTTAGAATTCAGGATTTGAGGTTTTCGTGAGAATCGTGATTTTTATGGGGAAGAAACGAAGAAATGTGCGAGATGACGGAATAAGAGTGTAGTAGTGTTATCGGCATTTCCTTTGATTGCTACTTCCTGTCCTCGAAGCTGAAGCTGAGAATTTCTTATCTGGGCTTCCTTATGTACCCGTGAATGTTTTTTTTTAATACGGCTGTGAAGAAAGTAACAATTTAGACATCCTTTCACTTCTGAATCTTTGAAGATTGGTTGTACAATATTCAATTTTTTTTTTTGATAATTTTTAGCAGCTGGTGCTTTTCTCTGGAGATCTCATGTCCCGGGCTTATTCCATTTCCTTTAAGATAAAACCTACTGTATCTTTAAAATTCAGAGTTCAAATGATCTACATCTAATTTTAATTTTACTGTACATTACAGTTGAACTTCAAGGGACTTGCAAAAATTGAGTACAGGAGGTTTTGAGTTAGGGAAACAAATAACATTGAGCATTTTTCTTTGGGGGAAGAATTACAGGAAATTTTATTTGTTGATATTCTGGGCTTCAAATTGCTTCTTGAATGAGTTGACAGGATGTTGAGATCACAGGCTAGGGTTTGTTTGCCAGATCAGTCTTTCACTTCCTTTCAAAGCGCTTAAAGTTACATATTTTGCATTTCTCTTTCCTGCTGTGTCAGTACAAAAATAGTCAAGATGCCTTCAGAAAATTCTAGTTGGGGTTTAAAAGTGAAAGCCCTTGAGTAAGGGCAGTTTTTAATGCATTGCTTCTAAAGGAAATCACACAAGAACTTTAGAAAAATGGACTTGGGGAGAGGCGTGAGTTATCAAAGTTACTGCTTTGTAATGAAGGCAACCCTTGAATTTGCAAAACATGAAAGCTATTTGGGTGACACCTATGAAGTGAAAAAAAGTTTGGAAGATGTTTGTTACCTTCAGGTGTGCGGTAGTCAATTTTTTTTGTTTATCTTGGCTTGTATGAAATTCGCAGGGATTTGGTGGCCGAATTGCCATTCATGTTGATGCATCCGAAACCCCTGGAAGAGAATGGTAAAGCAGAGGGTGGTGAGACTGGAGATGGTTCCGTTGCGGAAGATGGCGCGGTGGCGGCCAATGGTGTGACGACAGAGGTCGCTGCTCCGCAAGAAACCAACCTTATTCAACTGTGAGTACAGTACAGTATTTTCATTCGTTCAATTGAACGGTGTTGAAAATGAATAAATTGACGCATTTTTTTTTTGGCTTGACTTGATAAGATAAGAATTTTTGTTTACCTTGATTTTCAGAAAATTCCATTTTTTTTTTGAAATTAACCTCAACACTTGGCGTATAATTTATTTCTGACCGTCACCTGGAATTGAGAATGTCTGTTGATCATGATTCCCGCTTCTGCGGTTTTGGAGAACGCTATTTTGCTTGCAATTTTTCTATTTTTTTTCGCGACTTATCAAGAATTGACCTTTAGGAACTTAGCTGAAGGTTTTGAACAGTGTGCCTGTAAGAAAATTTAATTTAATTTTCTTCATCAGGGATGATCCAGTGAGCGATGAACCGGATGACATAATATTTGAGGATTTTGCTCGCCTAAGGCTCAAAGGAGAAACAGACGCGTGAAGGAGAAAAAAAAAATACAACGAAGAACAATGAAAGTTCCAAAGAAGAAGAAAGAGGAGGAGGAATTTTGAAAGGAAACGAATTCAAAGAAAGAAAAGTGGGAGGAATTTGTCCCATCCTGTTTTCAAGTTGCTTCCTCGCACTTGAGTCGAGGACTACGTGAAGTCGGTGGCGTGTGGATTTCCGTTTTCGCTGTTTGTTTTTTTTTCATTTCCTAAGCGAGGATCCCTTTTCCGGTATGTGACCATATTCCATTTCAAGGAAGGATCCGTGGGGAAAATTGCTTTTCTTCGTTTTTGAAACGTATCTTGTATTAATTTTTATCTCGGAACCAGTTATAAGCAGATTTGTACTTATTCAATTTTATCGAACAGAATTTTTCCATGGAGTAAAAGTAAATCGTAAACTGATATAGTAACGGAAACTACTGGAGATGGTCTTGAGATCGGTAGAAAAATCTGAGATTTTTTCCTTTTGATTTCACAACGAAAGTAGGATTCGTTTCAGGGATGAATATTTTCAAAATCGGATCTTGAAAAGTGAAATGTTATGTGCGATTTTTTTTCTATCCAAGATTAGAATCCCATCGAAAGCTATTTGTTCGTTGTTCTCAATTTTTGTGAGCATGGGTCACCTTCCGGATTCGAAGCTTTTTATGTTCGTCATTCATGTTTTTGCGCAAAAAAAAAGAGGAAGAAACACAGGAGAGGAAGTGAGACGGATGGGATTTCAAGAGTCAAATATTTTTGCTAACATGCTGATGTGCTGAATGCGAGTTTTTTTGTTTTTTTTTTGAGAGAGAGAGTGGGTGAAAGAAAAATGAGGTTCATGTTGCTTATAATCGAATCGTGCTAAGAAAAGAAGAAGAAAACTCAGAAACACACAAAAAACAGAAATCTAGTCAATGAAAATGTTTTTTTTTTTCTTCGAGTGTTCCTCTTGTTGTTTTTTGTTGTTTTTTTTTTGGCGCTTTCCAAATATGAGAAAAATGGGCGGAAAGGAAAATGTTCTCCAGCTCTCTCCATTCCTTCTTTTTTTTGTTTGAAAAGCATTTTTTTGTGCAATGTGGTCCGTTGCCATGTCAAACAAACATTCGGGTGAGGAAAAGAAGAGTTTACGTGGTGATTCACGCTAGGAAAACGTGAAATGTGTTTCCGAGAAAGTTCAGAATTTATGAAAGAAGACGAGGAAAAAAAAGGCGTTTCTTTGCAAAAGACGAATGTAACATTTTGATTTCCTGAGGATGCCGCAAGTTTTCAATTCTGCGTTTCTCTCATTTCGAAGTAAAATAATTTATGACGCTGATTTTCTTCCACTTGCCGAACAACATTATGCTTTCTTCTCGTTATCAAATGTTCACGAATTCCGGAAGTATTCACGTTTTTTTTTTCTTGGTCTGAATCACCCTGTGACTTGGAAAGAAAAAAAAGCAATCGTGCTTTTAAAAATTTGATCCATTTTCCTGTCTTGAGGAATTGCATTCGATATTTCGTTGGACTGTTGCGTTTCTAGACTCGGTAATTTTTTTTTTTTTTTTTTGTGGGACTGGAAGAAATCTGTTGGAACTGTTTCTTTTTTTGCGGGTTAGAATGAAAGGAATGTAGGGAAACTGTGACAACTTTCCAGCTGCCCCTGGTTCGCCGATTCGTTGTACGGGTACGATTTTGCGAGCAGTTTCGTCTTTCCGGCCTGAGTTTGGGCTTTCGCCGAAAAACAAGGAATTTTTGCGAAAGAGGAAAAAAAAAAGGTCGAGACAAAAACTAGTTGTTTTTTTTCCTGTCCCTTTTTTTCTCTCTCCCTCTGCAAAATGGCTGAAAAAGAGGGAGTTGGCAATTTCGAGGCAGGATAGAAAGAGAGCAATCCACACTAAAAACTGCGGGGGGAAAGAGAGGAGAAAAACAAAAGGAAGCCGGTTCGCGAACAAGTGTTGATATTCATTGTAAAACATTCTTCTCTGCGTGTTGTTGGGATTTCAATTACCCGCATGTTCTTTCTTTGGATTAAAAAAAAAAACAGTGCGACTGTTATGATGTTTTTCTTGGCGTCTTACTTTTTCCAGGCTTTTCAGTTGTTGATCTTGATTCAATTATTTGTTGGCATTTTTTTGTTTCAAGGTGTTGCGATGGGTCATTGGACCTGTTTGAGTTTTGCCTTTTTTTGTATTTATCCTGTGGCGATTCTTGTCTTGTCTGTGTCCGTGAAAAGTTGTGATGTTTTGTTTCACAATCAAAAGTTCTTCCATCAATTGATGAAGTAGGAACAAGGTCATATTTTATTCATGATCCAATTGAGAAATCATCCTGCACGTTTATTGATGGAAGTGTTCAAATGATGAAAGTGGGTTACTGCACAAGTTGTGTCAGTTTTACATGCTTATGTCAAGTGGTTAAAGATTTAAGTGAATTCTGAAGTTATATTTGAGCAATTCCTGCTTGGTCAGCTTAAAATACAATGACAGTTTAAAAAAAGGAAAGTTTCCCATTATTGAATGCAGTTTTGTCAAGTCTTGTTAAAATGGCTTTGTTTTAACGAAATGTAGGAAAAGAAATTTGGTTACTATGCTGTATTTACTCAAGTACCATGCACTGTTGAGTAAGATGCACACCATGTGCTTTGTCAAAAGTTTTATAAGATTGTATGCAAATTACAATCATTATGCACTCCCCATTTTTAGTGAGTCCATAATTGCAAAAATTAAAAAATAAGAACTCCTAAATTTGAATTTGGACATGAATTGGTTCTGAACTCAATTAAATTTCAATCACTACAGTATTTTCATTTTAAAAATTTTCTGCTGAATTTGGTCCAACATTTCCCATTAAAATCAAATTTGATGTACAGTACACTTCCACATGTAAAACTTTTTTGATGAATGTGTATTTTTTTTTATCTGCACTCCACTTTTCCTCTCAATTTTGAGAAAATAAATTGTGTGCAGTTTTTCAGTAAATGCAGTAACATGAAGGATTTTGAAGGGAGACAAATTTTAGTGCATGTTTTTGCAATAGTGTATCTATACTCTAGTGTGTGCAAGAAGCAATTGACCAAAATTAATAAAAATCAATGTCCTTCTTGTTCTTGATTCTGCCATCTTTTGTTGAAAAGGCAAACTTGAGTACCAAAATGATTTCCTTTCAAGGTGCAAAAACTTTAAAATCAACCCTGTATGACAGTGATGGGATTCTCTGTCAGGATTCCATCATTTGACTAATGGCAATTGATTTTGTAAGAATCAATTTCAATTTGTTGATGTTATTGCTGCTGTTGCTGAGCAAGGATCTGGGCTTTCTTGGATGCCAGAGTTTATTTTGACTTGATTAGTAAAACAATTGTCTTGAAATTATGCCTGTAAATAGTGAACTGTCTTGCAAAAAAGATCTGAAAACTCTTGAAGATGGCCAAAGATTTGGTTACGTTGCCAGATTCTTTCAAATTTGCATGTTGTGGAATGGGTTGTATCCCATGAAGAACATCCTCTCAGGGAAGCCAGAATTTTCTTGGTTCTCAATTGGAGTGGGAATAACACTCTTGAATTTAATTATTCAACTTTGGTTGGGGCTCTGGGATGCAACTTTCATCAATAGTGAGTTTTTGCAGTGGTACACGCTTTTTCTGCAAAGCAGCAGTATTTTAGATTGATGTTCATTTGTTGTATGATTTTAAACAGACTTGTTGCCAATGATGTTGGTTGGACCCTCCAATATGTGTACCAAGGATGTGGCATTTGGGATTGCGTATGCATGGTATCAAACATGTGCCATACTTGCCATGTGCACAGCCCTGATTAAATGCAATAAAATTATAGACTTCATTAATTGTGCAAGAGCACTTGAGGGACGAATGTACAAAAATGTAGTCTGGCAAAACATTTGGACTGGGACCAAAGATTTGGCACCATTTATTTTCTTTGGGTTCATTGATCTTGTGGTCATAGCCTATCATTCAAGAAATGCAACATTTGAGAGTAAGGTTAAAGTGAGTGATTTTGTCAAAATTATTCCAATAATTTGTTTGTTAATCATCATCATGACCTTGTGGAATAGGCTGGAATTGCTTTGCAAAATGCCATGCATGTAGTTGTCATGGCTGGGTTTACTTGGTCAATGACTAGGACTGTCAAGTATCACATGGAGTCACTCAACAAAAGAATACAGGACTCTCATCAGTATCCTCATGATGCAAAGAAAGATTATTTGGATGTGGTGGAATGGTGTGACAAGTTCTCAGCAGCCTTTGGCCTAACTCTGGCAGTCATTCTTGCTGAGCTCTTTGTTGGTGCAGTGTTGAGCTCTTTTATTGTGCTCAGTACACTTCTTGAATCAATGTCAAACATTGAAATGTATGGACTCAGTGTTTGGACTTCCTGTGTTGTACATGACATGGGATTGATCACCAGTTTCATTCTCAGTGGACACAGCATTGTTTCTCAGGTTGTTTCCATTTGTACTTTCTCAACTAGACTTATATATCTAAATAATGTGTCCTCTTGAATGCATAGGATGAAAGGTTTCGTGACTTGGTGAGAGCCTTGCCTTATGAGTCATGTGAGAAGCAGAGTGGATCAGCTCATGTGTTACCTGATGGTGATCTTGACAGGATTCTTTTGTACAAAGGTCCCAGTTTATCTGTTGATGGGTTTTTTGAGCTCAACAAGAGTATCTTACCTGCTGTGAGTGGTGATTGTGAAACAGTTGAGTTCATTGTTTCTTTAATGCAATTTGTGCATGTGTTTTCTGTACAGGTTCTAGGACTGGTATTGACATACTTGATCATTCTCCTTCAGTTCAAAATACAGGAAACAGTTGGTGTTACAAAGTCAGCTTGAAAAAAATTCCCAGTCAGCATCTTGTTTGACAACATTTTGTCAAATTCCATCTGTCACCATGTTGAACCAAAGCTATTATTGTAGTTATTATTGTGGAACCATCATCAGTGGGTATAGAGGAATTCTTCAGCAATGAAAGCACTACTTTTGGAAATGTATATGTAATACTGTATGGTATGGATGTTTCTGAAACCATGAGTATAGCTTTTGAATGTATGCAGCAGTGTGTAAATGAGCACCTGCATTAAAAAGATGCCCTGAATTTAGCTACTTAGAGAGGAGTCCACTGCTGTGGTCTTTATGTGAAATCTGCCTCATGAAGTGCAAATATTTTTTTGGATAAATTGAAGGACGCATCACTTTGACACAGTAAGGTATTCGTTGGAACGACATCTACCCTACAAGCTGATAACTAATAACAGCATGTCCACAAATATCACAGAACCAGAACCTGGATGGAGATCAGATGTGGATGAGAGGCAAAGCATGCAGATCATTTCAATCTGGACCTTGAAAGCATTGACTCCTTCTTACCTTTTTATTTGTGACGCAATCTCAATGTAACATGTCGTCTCTGTGAAATAATTGTTGGTGACAGGTAATGAAGGTGCTTGTTGTTATTGAGGCGATCTGAACTTCTACAAATCCTTTACTGTATTATACTACTGTACTTCCCCCACCTTAAACGTACTGTATACAGCGCACGGCGGATGCCTGCGCTATCCTCACCACACGTCTACATGCGTCATACAGATGTCGCTACCATCACAGCACGACGCGCAACCGAAAACAAGAGCAGGAACATATCAGCAGATGTACAGGATATTAAGGCTATATGTAGGAAATATGACGATACTTTTCAACTCCAATACGCGTGGGGACAACGAAATGAAATGTATTTGAAAAAACCGGATCAAGTGTAGTATTTCTTGTTTACGTATATGCTTGGCAAACTTTTTACATTCCAGGACTTTGGATGGTATTTCTGCTGACGATGCAGAAATTCCGTAATGTATATATATATATTTTTTTTTTTGCAGCACTCATGATAGCTGGTGATGCCACCGTATTTGCATTGCATGTCTGGGAGGTAATTATTGAAAGGTGGGGAGATTAATTGCTGATTTTGATGGATATACTTGATGTCAGAGGAATTTAAATGTGCTTTCTTGAGCGAATACCGCCTGTCTCATGTTTTTTTTTTTCCTCACAGGGATCAGCAAATGCCTGTAAAATTCCATGAAATTCCCAAGCTTCCCAGAAGAGCATTTCTGGGTGCCCTCAAGCACTTGAAACAATATCTACCTGAAAAACCCATAATCCCTCTTGTTTGGAGGATTTATTGGGTGCTGGTCTCTGTATTTATGGTAAACCATTCAAGGATACTTTCTATACACATCCCCACTTGTGCATAAAATCTGTGAATTATCTTCCTATAGGCTCTCAGTATTGTGGTGAATGGTACCACCTTGGTGGAGCTCTCAGTATTGTTGGAATAAAAATCATAGGAATCCCTGTGCAATGATGAGAAAACTCCAGCAACAAAACACAGACAGCATTTAACACTGCTTGTCCCACTATCCTGCCTTCAGGCCTTAAGGCAGAGAAAGAAAAAAAAATAAGCTGCAGTCTCATCACAGTCAAAGAGGCTGCATCTGAATTTTTTCTTGCATTTGATGAGCTAATAATGAAAAAATACAAACTTCTTCAAATGTTATACAGTGGCCCCCTGCCTAACAGACCTCCCGTGTAAGGGATTTTTGCCAAACAGACCAGCTCTGCAAGCAGTTTTTCCTCCCACCCAACCGACAAAATCCACCAAACAGACTTCTTTTGGTTTAAAATTTAGTGTTGAAAATTGAAATTTTTAATTTTTTATTGAATTGAATTTGTGTAAAGGACTTTTTGTCTAACAGACTCGTCGCTTGCACGAATCAAGTCCATTAGACGGGGGTTGACTGTATTTCATTCCTATCAAAGAAATTATTTTTTTGTGATTCAACTTGAAGAAAAAAATAAACAAGAAATTCCCTGAGGAATTGATGACCTTCAGCTAGGCCATGGTTAAAGATGTTCAGTCTTGGCAGGTGACAAAATCAACTTGGAAAAAAACAGTGCCATTTCAAGGGGACTTGGCCAGCAATTATCCTCCATAAAAAGGCACACACATGTAATTAAATGAAATTAATGCTGTGTGTAAATATAGAAGCTCTTCATACATTTAATTATTTGCAACACTGACTACAGTATGTTCAAAATTGCAAAAAGTAGGCGCTTTCTGCAAAAACTCAATCAAGTCAAAATTGATGATGATTTGTGTCAAAAATCAAGTATCTGAGAACATGCATTGTGCAGGTCCAGGGTCAATCACCTCAAATGAGCCAAATTATTGCATGAAATTGCAACAAGTCTTTCTATAGTATCAAAAATGAAATTAATTGCTTCCAGCAAGTGCAGTACTAATCCTGTCCAGGAACAGAAAGGGTAAAAATAGTCCAAATATCCCCATTGGTGCTATTTAATAGACCCAAGCATTATTATCTGCTGTCATTAGCTCAAGGAAGCCTTTGCACCCTCATCAACAGTAAAATTACTTGTAGAAACACCAGCCATTTGCCTTTCATGGATGAGGCATATTTGGTGATGG